TATTTGAAATAGCTTCTCCATAACTTCCTTAGAGTGTCATATTCCTGTTGGAATGAATTGGACACTGTTAATATAGAGAGGTGCTGCGAGCAGCATAGCCTATAAAAATGTATAAACTGTGGCTAATTTGTTTGCAGATTTCTTTGGTAAGTACTTTCATTCATTCTAGATTGAAATCAAATACATTCTCCCTGCAGAAGCTACTGGGCATTTGTTTCAGACCGCCATTGCTTTTTATTACATCTGTACAGGTTGCTAACAAGTTTTCTGGAATGTCCTTCATATTTTTTGTCTGTAACAAACCCAAGATTGTTACACTGAAATTGGATATAAATTTAATCTTCAGATAGTGTGTGTCTTCTGCATGCTTGAAATGGTGTGCAAAAGCAAGTGCAAGACCCTGGGGAAGATGGACTCAAAACTTTATTCTCTAGGAGGGTACTTGGTGTGGACAGCTGTCCTAGAGATGGCCTCTTAGACCTTCTGCTTTGGTTGTAGACAGCAGTGGGAATTCTGTGCTGAGGTGGATAGGTGTTTGAGTAGCTGGGCAGTAGAGGTTCTGGTGGGTTTTGACATGGATTGGAATTGTGAGCTCTTGGGGGGATGGACACTGGGCATTCTGTCAACAGGGTGGCTGGGAGGAGAGTGGGCATTCATGGAAGGTTGACCATCAGCCGGGGTAATTCCAGCCTGGGGATTGAGGCTGGCGTGGATACCTGCACGTAAGGAGAAAGGCTGCGATGCATCTGCCTCAGTTAGAGTTTTGACACCTTTGTAACACGTCCTCAAATTATTACTCAGCCAGAATAATGCTAACTACCGCCTCAAGTGCTGGGGGGTGTGGTGTGGTTGGAGGCAGCAGAGATCCTGGAAACCAGGCCTTCTCCACCCCAGTGCAAGTAGCAATGGTTGGGTCTGTGCTTTTGGCCAGTTGTGCGGTCACGATGCAGAGAGCGTGAGCTCTCGGCTAGGCCTGGTCTCTGCAGGAAGGAGGGCAGGTAGATTGAGCACAGCCAGCAAGCGTGCTGCACTCCAGCTCCAGCTGCAGCCTGGGGCGAGGAGCTGCCTCTAAGCTAGGGAGAAAATGATCAGCAAGGAGAGGTCCCAAGGCAGCTGAGATTTTCTCCCATTGGCCTAGAGGGAGGTCTGTGATTGGCCACCCTGAGAGGAGCAGCTCTGTTGCTGTGGCGATGCCCAGGCTTACAGCAGGGCCTGTCGTGCGGCTGGTGCCTCTGCGCAGAGGAATAATTCTTCTTAATCCTTCTGAGAGGCATCACTGGATAAGGCCACAGCCTCCCTCTGGGAGCCCTGTCTAGCCCCGAAGAAGCAGAGCAGGGGAGGGCCAGGTCTCAAACTGTCAGCCAGGCAGAGGGGGAGAGAGATCCCGAGCCCTTCCCAGCTCTCCAAGAGCAGCCTGCCTGATTTCTGTGCTCCTGCCTCATGGCAGAGGCTGAATAAACAAGGGGCTTCTGCCCTCACAACGTCCACACAGGCCCAGGGCTCGCTCTTCGTGCAGGCAGACAGCCGTAACACACAGGCCCAGGGCTCGCTCTTCGTGCAGGCAGGCAGCCGTAACACACAGGCCCAGGGCTCGCTCTTCGTGCAGGCAGGCAGCCGTAACACACAGGCCCAGGGCTCGCTCTTTGTGCAGGCAGGCAGCCGTAACACACAGGCCCAGGAAGCACAGCGACATGGAGTATGAACGTTCGCCAGCAAGGAGTCATTGGACTGAGCGCATGCAGGTTCACAGCATGAACAGACCACACAGCGAACTCTGCTGAAGCACAATGCACCTACAGAGATGCCCAGGCAAGGGGCACACAGACACGGGTCAGGGATGCTCCAGGGAAGCACGCTCTTCCACTCGTATCCGGGCACCAGGGGCGCACCTGCTTCTCCTGCCTCGGACACATTCCTCAGCCAAATCCCATCCATTAGCTCCCAGCCCTGTCTGGACACAGCCCGGCATTCCACATATTCCAGCTCAATTGTGCCCCTGTTTCAGGAACAGCAACCCTAGGACTGCAGCCCATTCAAGAGGGAGCCACACAGAGGAACTTAAATACCACACTGAGGATTAGGTCAGCTCTGGTCATCGCTCAGACAAATAAGTGGATCAGAACAACTGTGTGACAGGAAGGGCAGGGGTGAGAGTCTGGTGGCTGGTACAAACCAGGCAGTTTTGGGAGGAGGAGGAAAGAAGAAGGGAACGGTTTAGAAGCTGGTGCACAAGTAAGTAAAAGGGTTTCATAGAACAGCTGGTATCAGCAGAAGGGCAGTGTGTGGAGCATACGTCAGGGATGGTCTAGGTCAGTCGTTCTCAACCAAGGGTACATGCATCCCCAGGGGGGCGCAGAGCTCTTCCAGAGAGTATGCATCCCCTCATCTAGAGGTTTGCCTAGTTTTACATCAGGCTCCAGAAGAAGCACTAGCTAAGTCAGAACAAGCTAAAATTTCATAGGGACACTGACTTGTTTATACAGCTCTATTGTTTATACATACTACACACTGAAATGTACGTATAGTATTTATATTCCAGTTGATTTATTTTATAATTCTATGGTACCAGTGAGAAAGTCAGCACTTTTTCAGTACTAGTGTGCGGTGACCCTTTCGTATTTTTATGTCTGCTTTTGTAAGCAAGTCGTTTTTAAGTGAGGGCTGCGCAAGACAAATCAGCCTCCAGAAAGGGGTACAGGAGTTTGGAAAGGTTGAAAGCCAGCGGTGCAGGTTTACTTGGTCCTGCATCAGCACAGGGGTCTGGATGAGATGGTTTCTCAAGGTCCCTTCCAGCCCTACGTTGCTGTGATTCCAAGTCCCGCTTGGCCCCTTGCACTTCATTCAGATGCCTAATTGTACTTGAATCTGTTTATTCTAAAGGATACAAAGTCCTTGCTGCTGCAGCCTCCACAGGGGTCACAGGAAAGTTCACTCATTAAAGTTTCCCTGTAGAGCAAAGAGTGGGGGAGGAGAGGGACAGACTGATAGCAGCCAGCTAGAACACCTTCCTTCCCCCCTCCTTTCACACACACCTTTGGACTCACTGCACATGCGCTAGAATCCCATCTGTTCTCTTGCAGTCTGACCCCTATTGTCCTGCTGCATGAGCAAGGATACAGGGAACAGGAAGCCAGGGACCGCCATCTGCTTGTCAGTCCGTGCAGCTTCTTTTGTTTGAAGCACAGCTCAGAGTACACAGGAAGCAGCTCCCATTCCCTCTCCAAGCGGCACCTAATGAAATAAAGGTTTTTCTGCAGCGGGGAAGGGAAGGGGAAATAGACAGAGCGGAGTTTAAACATGTGACATCTGACCCAGGAGACTGGCTCCTGGGCGTTCTAGAGCCAGGCTCTCCCTGCTGCTTTGCCTAGGAGGTGTGTGCAGGAGGGGAAAGCTATTTCTGCGCAAGATCAAACTGTTTTCAAGAGCAGCACTAATGCCACATACCGATGGTGTGAGGAGCTGTGGAGATGTGTGTGTAAATGAGGAGGAGGAGTGAAGGCGTGTGTGTGTGTAAGTGTAAGACACAGTCCATGTCCATGAAAGGAAAGGGGTATGTGATAACGGGGTAGCTTGTGTCCAAGATATTTAGAGGCTTGTGCATAGGGAGGAGACTGGGAAGCATGTGCAGGGCACCATGGCTGGGAGCAGACATATGCATAAGAAAGTGTGCCGGGAAGCTGGGGGAGAACTGTGTAGGCACAGAGTCGAAGGGAGGGTGTCTGTGCCTGTGAAATGGGGAGCTGGATGGTCTGTATAACAAAGGTGCAGGGAAAGACAGTATATGTCAGTGAGCCAAAGAAAGGAGAGAAGGTAAAGGGAGTGAGCTGTGACTGTGAATTGGAGGGAGCTCTGGGAGAAGTTGGGGGGAGCTGCAGTGGGAAGCAAGTTGGATTGTGCATGGAGGACGAATGGATGGCGTTTCTTTGCAACGCACAGATCTGGGGTCTACATTCAGGCGCTCCGATACCACAGCGATAGAAAGACAGACATACTGACTGACTCCCTACCTCTCTCCTGGGTACCATCCCTCTTCTGTGTCCATATGTCTGTGTGGTTCGTGCAGAGAAGCAGGTAGTTCTATCTGCAGAAGCCGTTGCTACAACAGGACCTATGCAAGAAGTCCCTGGGATGGGATGGGTGCCTGTGTTTTTAATGACAGGGCTCCCCTAGGTCCCATAAAGCTTCTTCCATTTTGCACTAATATGCATTTCTGCCAAAAGGCCCAGTGAGGTCTGTCCTCTTGGGTCACTACTGACTCTGAAATCTCTCTGCAGCGGGCAGTACCTGGGAAGCTTGAGGGCCTGAAGTTCATTTTTTCCTGCGGGGGGAAGAACATCACTTCCGAAATAGCCTAAAACCAGAGAGAGTGCACAGGGAGGGGAAGGGCCCCTTTCCTACAGCGTTGGTAAAATGGAAATTCCACAGCAAGGAAAACTCCCATTGACTTCAGGGGAGTGAGTAAGAAAAGGACTACTCTTCCCATGGTGGGGAGGGAGGGAGGGAAGGAAGGTGTCTGCCATTCTTTCACTTCGGGGATTGTTCAGCAGGAAAGCCCCCAGCGGCGAGGGGCTCTGTAAACTGCTGGACTTGACACGGTCAAGCTGCCTCCCAGGAACAGGAATGTTCTGATCCCGTAAGCTGCCATCCATCGTTCAGCAGGGGGGTCATGCCCAGGGGTAATGGCCTGGAGCCTAGGCCTATGTGTTATGAGTATCTGTTCCTGGCAGTGCCCATGCTGACTGGTGTGCAAGCCAGGCACACGGAGCACATGGGATTCTGGGAACCCAGGTTCAGCAGAGCGAAGGGTCATAAACAACTCATTTCTCTCTCAGCCAGTGTGCCCGCTGGCTGTCTGGAGCAGGATGCCACCTCCTCCCTTTGGGAGGGCACAGAAGCTGCTTTCCTGGCTTGTCTGCAGGTGCCCAAGGGGTCTAGGGCCGATGGGTGCTTTAAGGGAAGGGGTCTGAGGGATTTGAGATAACATGTCCCTCTCATTGCAGATGATTCCTCATCAGAGAGCTGCAGTGGGAATGGTTCCTCCACCCTGAACCCCTCCACCTCCAGCAGCACTCAGGGAGACAGCACCTTCCCGGAAATGAACGGGAATGGAACTGCTGCCCCCATGGACTTCACTGCTTCGGCCGAGGACCAGCCCATCAACCTGTGTGACAAGCTCCCGCCTGCCCATGTCACTCCTTCCTACCAGTCAGACAGCTGTGCCGACGGGCTGCGGAGCCGGGTGAAGTACACAGCAAAGACTACAGCAGAGGTTGGTCTGGCCAAGACTGCGGGGCTTCGGGGGGTGCACAGACTGCATAAGCAGGGGCAAAATGAGCAGCCTCATTTACAGCCTTCCACAGCCTGATAGTAAAATGGAGGAAACTGCACACGAGATGTCCGAGGGCAGCAGAGGACTTTGCTCCTCTCCATGGAGAGGAGAGAGCACTGCTCAGCCTGGGGGCTGGTTGGGAGAGGGGTGGAGTCTGCTCAGGGAGCTGAATGCATTCCCTTCTAGGGAGGGAAGGGGAAAGCATCTAGCTGTGCTCTGCTGGTTCTGAGGAACTGCTAGAGAGCAGCTGTGCCTGGCCTTGCTCCAGGCTTGGGGCTCTTGCTGTTCAGTAAAACAAGGCCCAACTAGAGACAGTGTGGTTAGCAGAGGTAAGGAGAGAGGAAGTATTGTACCAGGAACCCCAGGGCCCATGGCGTGCAGCCATAGCCCTGCCCCCAGACAGCTCCACAAAGACCCTGCTGCTGAGCATGTTTATTTTCGCATGGCCTATAAAAGACATTACTATGGAATGGGCTTTTAACACTCCTCATTGGAGACAGAAGCATCTCCCACCCTTATCTCAGCCCCAACTCTTTCAGTTCTGTTTCACAGAAGAAAATCCCCTTAGGCATTCCCTGTGAAAGTCATTCCCCCAGCCTCCTCTCCCAACACACCCTAGCCATAACAGATGCAAAGCCAACAGTCAGCGCAAGCATAGCGTCTTCCCAGGAGGTTTCAGCAGATGCTGTCTCTGCTGTGGTGGATCTCCCAATCTCACTGCAGAACCATAAATCCAGAATCAGCCACCTGTAATGCCTCAGCAATCCCCTCTCACAGAAACCAGCTTTTTAAAGCTAAGTTTGGGTGGCAGAATGCACGTTGTGCCCGTTGCCTGGTGGAGTAAGTGAATCTCTGCTGTTGTAGGAACAGGTTCACCAGTGGGCCTGTTAGCGTTCCCAGGAGTACCCAACTGAGTGTTCTTGGGAACACAGTGAAGCTCTGTGTGTGCGTGTACATGTCAAAACAGTGACAAAACTTTCAGAAGACAGCACCTGGTGTACACATGCGTAAGCCGCGCCCCCTACAGCTCCTGTGCCCACGATCAGAGTGACAAGTCCAGAGCATCCACCGGATCTTGACAGAACTGTGGGCAAGGACAGATGGCTTGAATCTTTCCTGTTTTGTGCTCCAGACTTTGGCCTGCTTTATCTGCACTACGGGGATGAAGGGCCCATAAGGAGCGCCTCTCAATCATACCCATTTTACAGATAGGAAACTAGGCTAGACACACAAAGTACCAGATTTCCAGAGTATTTAGGTGCTTAAAGATGCAGACAGTGGCTCTGTGGGATTTTCAAAAGGCCCAAAATCCAGCTAGGTGCCGCTACTTCAGTCCTTTGAAAATGTAAATGGGGGCGAGGTGCCTAATCTCCTTTGGCCATTTTGAAAATTGCACCACATCCCATCTTCATCTTTAAGTACCTTGGAAAATCTGGCTCTAAGTGACCTGGCCAAAATCACACAGGCAACATCTGTTGCAGGGTGAGAACTGAATCCAGGGCTGCAGAGTCTGAATCCATGACTTCAGCCACAGGGCTACCGTATGCCATTCCTCTCCCTGACAGGAACAAGATGAGAGGTCTCACAACCCAACTGGAGGGTTTTCTAGAGAACAGATCCCTGTACAATTTATGGCCTGTTGGCCACAGTGTAATTCATCATAGATGGTAATAGAAGGACCCCACACCTGCCCTTTAAACAAACTCCGCGTAAGAGGGAGTGGCTCCATGGGACTTTGCCTCTTTGCTGCTTACATCTTCTGATGCTCTTATTTATCACAGTTTGCCCGAGTCTCTCTTTTGCTAATTTTCTCTCCTAGCCCATCTGCTCCTGTGTGATCCTGCAGTGACCCTAACGCTGAATTTGTGACAGCTCCATCATTTCCAGGGCAGCAGATTGTGATGTCATAAGGATATGACTTCATAGCAGGATCAGGCAGCAGGAAAGGCTATGTGGTGAGGGAGAAAGCTTTCTTTTAGACAGACCTGTAAAAGGAGCACAGTAGCCAGAGTAAACTGGCAAAGACAAAGGGATTCTGCTTCCCCCGTTCCTTGGCCTGTTTGAAATCAGGCTCCTGGCCTTTGGCAAAGACTGGAGAGTGAGTTGAGGTCTGGGTGCTCATGACTCCCCCTGTTCTCTCTCAGTCCCCTCCATACAGTTCTGGCAGTTATGACTCCATCAAGACCGAGGTCAGTGGCTGTCCGGAGGACCTGACCGTTGGCAGAGCGCCCACAGCAGATGAAGATGACGACGACCATGACGACCATGAGGATAACGATAAAATAAATGACTCAGAGGGGATGGATCCAGAGCGATTAAAGGCCTTCAATGTAAGAGTAACAGGCTAGGGATGAGTGGGTCTAGCTGTCCTAGGTCTCTGCTGCGTCCATCTCCCCAACCCTTCTCCATTCTCTTTGCAGATGTTTGTGCGCCTTTTTGTGGATGAGAATCTGGACCGAATGGTTCCCATCTCCAAGCAGCCCAAAGAGAAAATCCAGGCGATCATCGAGTCCTGCAGCCGACAGTTCCCTGAGTTCCAGGAGAGAGCTCGCAAACGCATTCGCACTTACCTCAAATCCTGCCGCCGTATGAAGAAGAACGGCATGGAGATGGTGAGCTGCTTCCCCTGCCTTCCGTGCCCTTGTTGCCCTACCGCTCTCCCTTTCTCACATTCCTCCTGCTCAAAAGGCCTCCCTAGTGCCTGCAGACTTGTCCTCCTTCCAGATGTGTGGAAGAGAGGAACCAGATCATGATCCATTTCGGATATTGTCTGTGCCCCTGCTTCCAATGCTAGGTTTTTTTGAAATGTCACTACATGTTCTCTGCCACCCGAAGGGTGTGCATGGCAGAGACACACTGACACTGGTGGATGGAGAAACAGATGCAAGCACTGGTGGGTTAAAAAGTTGAGGCCTTATATATCTTGATTTTAAATATTAACTTTTAAGAGCTTGCGAGTATTCTGTGCTCTTGCCATGCTCCTGGCAAATGTACAATGCACAATCTGAATGGTCAAGACACATAAAATGATTGTTTCCATCAGTATCCATGTTTCCCAAAAGATGACCTACCTGGTTCTATGTCTCCACAGACCAGACCCACCCCACCACATCTGACCTCAGCCATGGCAGAAAATATCCTTGCAGCTGCATGCGAGAGTGAAACACGGAAAGCAGCCAAGAGAATGCGGCTGGAGATATATCAGACATCCCAGGTACGATCCCAGTAATCCTTTGCATGCTAGGCACAATTTCATCTGCTCTGTCCCCAGTCAGAGGCAGAAGATGAACCAGAATTGACAGATGAGGTCAGCAGAGATCTTGCTCACTGGTGATGTGCACAATACTTGGTTCAAGCCGTGCAAGTTTGGTCTGCTTACAGTTTGCCTAGAAAGGGAAAGACCAGGCTGTGCATGTATGTTGTAGAGGGAGAACGTAGGCAGAGCACATGTGACGGGGGAAGACAGTCTGGAGAACAGGAAGAAACAATTTATATGGTAGTGAGTGTGCGCAGGGGAGGCTGAGAGAGCCCAGACTGAAGAGAGATGAGGACTGGGACAAGCAAACTAGCAGTGGAGGGATTCTTGTGCAGGAGGTGGGTGAGGGATGCTTCCTTTAATTGACAAGGACGTGTGAGCAGTAGTTCATTCCTAACACAAGGAGAGAGCAGCAGCTACGCATGCCTGCTCTGCCCAGGGGGAAAGGGTCAGGACTGCTTTGGCTGTGTGTATTTAAACACCTTCCTCACAATTTTCTGGGAAAGCTGTGGAACACGGGAGCTTCACATATCTGTAACTAGGTTTGAAGCCATCCTTGCTCTTTCTATGCTCTGATTGGCTGGGATACCAGGATGCTGGTGTGGGCTGGCCCAAGAGGTCATTCCAGGGAATCAGAGAGTAGAAAAGCCAACTGTGCTTGGTGCAGCCCTTCCACTGGAAGTGAAGGGCAGGAAAGTCTCCTCACTGGAATAAATCGGTTTGCTTTCCTTGCTGTAGGATGAGCCAATCCCCTTGGATAAGCAGCACTCCAGAGATTCCACAGCCGTCACGCACTCCTCCTATTCACTGCCAGCTTCGTCTTACTCCCAGGATCCGGTCTACATCAACGGCAGCTTGAACTACAGTTACCGTGGCTATGGGACCCTTGGAGGCAGCCTGCAGCCACCCACTTCACTGCAAACAGGGAACCACAGTAATGGTAAGAAAGGCAGAGGAGTGGCACTTGGGAGTGACACAGAATTGGGTCTCCTCTGTCTCCACTCGCTCCATTCGAATGGGGTTTGAAGACTGCTTGAGAGGAGTGTGCTATAGAATACAAGCAGGGAGCTGGAGGTTCCTTACTGCTCTCCCTGCTCTGCAACTAGAAAGATGATGCTTTGCTAGGCCATGCCTCCAACTCTGGCTGAATGAGGGGAGGCTGAGGCTGCTCCTACTCTCCAAGCACTGCCGATGCAAGGGGCTCACACCAGCCCCCTTCCTCTGGTCTGCAGAGCCACCCCTCAGTTGCTCCTGAGGACCCCCTACTCCCACAATAAACTAGCTGACTGAGGCTGGAAGACAGCATGGGAGAAAGACAAGGGCTGAACTGTGGGGGAAGGGAATTTAGTTTAACTTAAAAAAAAAAAAACCCACAGGTACCACCTATTAATAATTAACCAAGGCAGGCACCTGTCACCACCCTGATTGCCTTGCTGATATGAGACAACCCTTCCCCCACCCTTCATGTGTCTTTTTATAGGACGCTGGTTGGGCCAGGGGTCCTGTCTGCCTGTGAGTTAGGAAAGCACTGATCATGCTGTGGGTGCTGCCAAAATCTAAAAGATAATAAATAATAACCCTCTTGCTAGCAGGAGTGTCGGAGGGAGGAGGCCAGGCAAAGGGAGCGTGGGATGGGGGGGGTCTGTGTTGCAAGGCGTAGGGAAAGAAAGAACCTGAGGAGAGGGAGAGAACAAGCCTGATCAGTTAGATTTAATAACGTGACAGTGAATGATCCAGTAAACAGAATGATTAGTCTGGGCTGGGGAAGCATAGGACCACACTGAGGGCCAGCCCTGCCTGGCATAGACATGCCCTGACCAGAAGCCTCTCTCTGTAAAGCATGGAATTGGGTGATCTTGCATCAGAGGATCTCACACATCTCAGCAGTAGCCTCTTGGGTTTGTTCTTGTGCCACTCCTGAGCAGTAGTGGCTGGAGCCCCTCTAGCCAGACCTGTCAGGCAATCACCTGACCTGCTTCCACAGCCTCGCACCCAGGTGCATGCCTGGAAACTCTGATTGGAGAGCCTGGCCAGGAGTAGTGTGCAGAGAGGAACAGGGCTTTTGCTTCTGGATCTTTCTGGGTTCTTCTAAGAACCCCTTTAGAACGGTATATGCAAGTCACCTTGCCCATCTCCATTAGCACGCAACCAATAGCACAAGACTTCTTTCCTCCCTGAGACATTCCCCTCAGCAGTCTTTGCCACTGAACCCCTCGCTCCTGTTTGCTCCAGGCCTCAGTGCCTTTCCTGGGGCCTCGCCCCCCCACCCCTCCCTAGCTGCATGGAGTAAGGATTTGAAAGGATGTGATTTCCAGAGTCCTGAAAGATGCCTGTCTGGGATTAACTGTTATCATCCCTTCCTAATGCCTCTTAACCCTGAGTAAAGAGCCCACCCTAGTCTCCAGCTGCTGAGACCTAATCCTTACAGCTAGAGTAGAGGATGTTACACTTCCTTTCTAGACTAGCACAGGCATTCCGGGGCTCCCAGTGCAGGAGGGGAAGCAGGATTAGGGTTAGGTGGCAGTTTCCACTGTGCAGTTTCCTTGAGGTGCTGCCCACCCACACAGCTGTTCTCATGACACCTTACCGCAAATTGACCAACCAGGGCCTATTCCAGGCATGCACAGGAAGCACAAAGCTGAAATCGTGCTTCTCTCCATTTTGGCCTCTGCCCCAAACCCTCCTCTGCCCAGGCTCTTGCCAACTCCTTTAAAGCCAAGAAAGCTCCTGCCAGATCCTCTCATAATTCCTTCCCTCATCCCCATCTGTGTCCCTTTTTCACCCCTGTTTGAATGAAGTCTGCACTATTCTGTGTCCCCCCGCCCGAGTTCCTGGAGTTTGTGCTGCAGCGCCATCTCTCTCTTATCTATCACTCTGCATAGAAACAGGCCGTTTTCCCCAGCCTACCCACTTCCCTGTTACCCCATTTCCTTCCTCCTCTTGAGCAAGCTTTATGCTCCCAGTGCAGCTCCCTTCTTGGCTGTTTGTTGCCTTTCCCTCTCCACTAAAACTCCCCTCAAGTCACTAACCCCACTCCTTTTCCCCTCCATGACCTCTGCTGTCTTTGACTGCCTACTTCTCCTCAAGCCCGTCCCTTGACTGTCCACTGTTTGTTCTACTCCTACTTCGTTGATTGCTCCTTTAATGTTGCCTCTTGGGGGACCCTTTCCTTCTCCTCCTGTTACCCCCACTGTTGGGTTCGTACTCTCCCTTCTCCCTGCCACTTACCTTCTGGGTGACCTCACCTCCTCCTGGGGTGTCCCTTATTTCCATTGTACTGATGGCTCTCAATCTACCCCTGCCTAGACTCTCAGCTTTCCCATCTCTGCTCTCTCTTCCTACATGTCCCAACACTTCCTCAGCCTGAACACAGTGAAAAGCCCAACTTCTCCATCACCTGACAGCTCCATCCCTCCCCATCACTCAGACTCACAATCACAGAGTTAGCTTCGATTCTTCCATTTCCTTCTCTCATTGCATCCAGCCTCCTCCCTCCCTCCCACTGTCACCACCCTTCCCCACTGCCAGAATTGTGCTTCACGCTGTGGCTGTCTGCCTCGGCTGGCCTCCCTTTCCTTTCAGTCTATTTAACACACAACAACTGAAGTCATTTTCCTCCTTAACCACCTCTCCTCAAGGAGCTCACCAGCTCTCCTGTCAAACTCACTGTCCCTGCTTTTAAAGCACTGCCACGTTCTGCACCTCTTCCCACCTTGCACCCTGCCCACAGTTCTTGCTTTACTGCTCCCTATCCCCTCCTCTTCCCACCAGCACCTTTGTGCCTTCTTTCATTGTCCTCCCCGACCCCAGATCCACTGACTAGGCCTCATTTCGCCATGACCAGCCTCCTCTCAAGTGCTGTCTGCTCTTCATCTGTAACCCAAATCACACCAGGATCTTCAGACAGCAGGGGGATTAAGCCTGCTCAGAAAGTAGGCTCCTAATTGCTTAAGCAGCCCCAAATTCATTCAGTAGTAAAGAGCACCCCGCAGCTGCCACCGAACTCGCTGGGTCTCCTTGCGTGGATGGAGGGCCCAGTGTGCAGGGCACTAGCCTGGGACTGAGGAGACATGGGTTCAGCACAGACTTCCTGGGTAGGCTTGCACAAATCAGCCGGCCTCTCAGTGGCTCTTTTCTCCAGTTTTAAGCTGAAGAGAACAGCCCTGCCCTGCCCCACAGGGGTGCTGAGAGAACAAGCAAGATTGTGAGGTGCTCAGATACCAGGGACCAGGACTAGAAAAGTACCTGAGAGAGAGAAAGTTACTCACTTGCATCAGGTTACGGTTGTGTTTGCAGGGTTGGAATTAACTCATATGCTCCGGGGATTGTCTCTCATTGGTGGAGCACATCATGCAAACGCACAGTCCTAGAACAATATTTTAGTCCCCATCATTTGATTTTTTTTTTTTTAAATGAAGGCATTTTGTGTGTTGAAGAGGTTTTTTGGATGAGCCAAAGAGCAACATCCCCAAACATGCTCAAGGCTACTGCTCCTCCTGTCACACCTATGTGTTGCTGGCACTGGGAAACACCCTCTTGCAGAGTATGCTTGGGCGCCCCTGCTGGAACCAGGGGTGCTGGAACAATTTGTATAGTGGGGGTGCTGAGAGCCATTGAACCAAACTAAACCCTGTATTTGATGGAAACCACTGGGGGAGGGGGGCTCCTCCTAGTTCCAGAACCTATGCCAGGAGCATGAAAATTACACAACTGACCATAAACAATGAAACCACTCCATGCAACATGCTGTCAAATGCAGAGAAGAACCAGAAACGGAGAACACTGTTTCCCCTCACCCTTAGGTTTCAGTACTCTGAGGAGTCGGTTGGAACAACTGTAGGTACAATATTTTCTCTGAGTTGACTGAGCGTTTACATTTTATGCTCATTCAGCCAAGCTCCCCAGTGTTTCATTGTGATCCCAGCCCATTACAAACTGCAGTGAATATATCTTCGTATTGTAGGTGAAAACCCCCTCCCTCCTTGTCGGTTTTATTACAGTGTTAAAACGGAGGTGTCTGAATTGTGCCTGAGCTGACTCCTAGCAGAGCAGAGGGTTTGTCTGACTGTTCGTACAGTATGTTCACAAAATACACACACACACCCACAAAATACACACACACCCCCGCTCTCTTCGACAAGGGGAACCGAGAGCCATGGCAGCGCCTCTGACACAGCAGCAGTTGGAAGGTGCCTACAAGTTGACAGTCTGTTCTGTAGGGCTCAGGACTGCATGGAGAGTGCTGTACACGGGGCTCTGAATCAAAACAGCAGGTGCTGGTAGAGTTTTCGCCTCTAAATTGGATGCGCCACTTTGGGGCAGCAACTGTGCTAGTGTCTTTTCCTGAACCTCCCTCTTTCTTTTCCATTGCAGGTCCTACTGATCTCAGCATGAAAGGTGGGGCCTCAAGCACAGCCCCTTCTAACAGCACCAGCAGGGGGATGCCAGCTGCCCAGCTGAGCCCCACAGAGATCAGTGCCGTGCGGCAATTGATTGCCGGCTACCGAGAGTCAGCGGCTTTTCTTCTTCGGTCTGCAGATGAACTGGAAAACCTCATTTTACAGCAGAACTGACTCCTGGTGTCTGTGTAGCTCCTGTGGCAGAAGACAATTTACACCCTTTGGAAACAGGCTCCCACTGGTATCCCGCTCAGGACTAACCATCGTCCTCCCACCCAGTAGCTGGTACATTTAGTTTTTAAAGGTGGAACCCTAGAACTGTTTTCTTTCACACTCCAAGCACCTGGGACTTGGGGCACAAGGACATATTTTTGACTCTCTCAACACAGGTGCGCCTAGATGAGCAGAAGCAGCCAAACCTACAGCTTGGATGGGTGTGGGATTTTTTTAGGGTGGAAGGGAGCTTGGGGAGGCTTGGGGCTGCAGATGTATTTAGAATAACCTTTGTGGACCCCAACATTAGAATCCCATCCCCAGATAATTACCTTTCAAGGTCTTAGGTGAGCAGAATTGCATATTTATTGAGAAATGGTCCCTCCTCTCCCTTTAGTAATTTATTTTTCTGAAAATGGATTCTTTTGAGTTTGTACAGATTGCCAGTTTTGTGTCCGTCTGATCAGAAGGAATTTATTCCTGTGAAATAACACATTCCATATCACTACACTACTAATGGCTGAGTAACTCCACCGACTTCTCCTGGGAGAGAGCCCTTTCCACAGGATGCAAGTTTGCCATCTAGCCCTAGAACTTCTAGGCTGCTCAGCCTCCAGCAAGCTTAGGCAGAACCTGAACAATGAGGAAAGAGTGTCTTGTTAGACCTTTACTCTAAGCGGTCCTGTAGCAGTAGCAATGGGGTCCAATATCTCCTGCAGAGAGACTCAGCAAGCTCAGTAGACCTCCAACTGGAAGGACCTCTTACACTCATTTAGCTCATTGCAGAGCAAAACAGGAAGTATCTGAGAACCACTGTCATGCATTCACCATCCATATTCTACCTCACACTCCATTGTGGGCTTTTTCCAGGACTCATTGGGGTTCTGAAAGTTCACTCCATAATGTATATCACTATGATGTGCATCCAAGACTGGGGAGCAGACAAGTAGATAACACTGAGGAGTCAAAACTAAACCAGCAGATAGACAGCTGACCCCAGCTGGCTCCCTTTTTGTTCAGAAGAGAAGGAAGGACATGCACTGCTGATGGACAGCAGCTCTCTGTCACAATGGATGACGTCTGACCTCTCCTCAGTGAGGAATCCCAGGCTGTCTCCACAAGTGTACGGGAAACCAGCGCTGGGGGCAGCAGCAAGAGACCTGTTTAGAGAAACTCACGTGAATAATAAAGACCAGTGCAGACTTTTAGGGAGAAAAGTAAACTACTTCAGTTAAACAATCAGTTCATTCCTACTCAAAAGGAAAGAATTAGGAGACTCTCAGCAGCAGAAAGGGTGTAAATTCTCCCCAGGGCCCAGGTTCCGCCCCTCATCCCCCCAGTAACAGTCCTGGTAAAAGCTCACAATTCCTAAAGTGTGGGGAAAGATCTGGCCTGATCACCATTGCTGTTTCTCCCCAACTCCCACCCTCCCAAGAAACAAAACCAATGCACTTCCCTTTGCTCAGTGCAATACCTACTACCAGTGCTGCTAAAACCAGGGACTTTGCTCGAGCATCAAGATGCTGAGCAGGGCCAAGCAATGCAACATAGTCTGTAGCCATAAAAAGCAGCAGTAAATTGCTGCCTAAGAATCTGTGAGAATTCTCCTCACCCTCTCCCTTGTCAGTGCTGGCAGAATTCGTCTCCTGTCCTCCTTTCCAGGGCCAGGACCACAAGCAGCAGCACCAGATAGACTTGAAGAATATTAAAATAATTTTGATCATTTTAAATGCAGGTGGTTTCCTTCTCTGAAGTTAGCTCCTTTTAGACCAATTTATTGAGAACTCACTTCAGTGATGAAGGTTTCTGCTCTGCAGTGGTGGTCTACTTTGTCCCCTGTCCTTCCCCCCTCCGTCCCCATCCCCCATACTGCAGAAATAACCATACTAACACATGGGTTTTACACTTTCAGGCAGCACAGGTTGGGCACCAGCAGGGACTGAGCCTGAAATGGTTTTTCAAGAACCTTTTTAACCAAATTAGTTTCCATTCATGCTAGTGGGAAAACTGCTGGCTAAAAAACAAGGCCCTATCCCTTTCCTTAGCTGTAAAGTAGACCAGGCTTCTGGCTCTCTAGAACAGGACTGCCCAGCCTGGCCCTAAAAGGGATTAACTAGTGCATTGACCACTTTCCCCAAACCCTGAACTCTCCCCAGCTGCTGGAGAAAAGGGATTTAATTCCTGAGCATTTTCTACACTCAGACAGCCCTTGCAGGGAGAAGGCGGTGGTTTTGTTGTAAATCAGAGTTGATTCCCCTCATTTCAACATGAGCCAGCAGGGTGGTTCTTTGGGAACATTCTAACATTTTGGTTCTTAGCATATGTGGACAATAGACAAAATCTGACCAACCTCCAGGGAGTGTGGGTCAGTATCAGAGCTAAGGTATCCGAGAACAGAATGACCACACACAAGCCCAAATTTCAGGTCCGCACTTCACAAGCCTGCTTGATTTGTCCACTGCATCCTCCCATACTTTGAATTTATGTAAATATTTATTTTTATGTGTACAATACCATGAAGTAGCAAACCTTTTACAAAATGTTAACTACAGTCATTTGTGAAAGTCTTAATGTTAAAGAGAGGCAGAGACAATCGCTGTCCCAGAATTCTCTATAGACATTACTTAATGGTTGCCTCCGCTCCTTTTAAGAGGCCATCAAGAACACACAGCCATAAATTTGCCAGCCAATTAGCCAACAAAAACATTGCCCAGGGGCTTATTACAACAGATCAACATCAGCTACAGTTTGTTTAAAATTGTATTTATGCAACATCTAGCTGTTTTTACCAGATCACCCTGGAACTTCATGTTTAGTAGCTCTTAATATTTAAACCACTGGTAGAACACAGTTGAGACTTATGATTGCATAGGAAGAAGAACTGACAGCCTACTGTGTAACATCAACTCATGTTCATAACCTGCAGCTGGCTGGCACAAACTCAGATTTCTGAAGCCCTGGTGACAGTAGTACCTGTGACAAGTTGTGAAACAAATGGGATCCACTGCGTATTGGTGTCAGGGAAAGTTTTATGTAAACTGCATCTTTAGTCTCTTTGGCGCTATCTCCAGAGAACATCTCAGTGCTCTAACTAATCCTTACTCAACAGTGGTCCGACTCTACTCAGAGGCTGTTTCATAGCCATCTTTGTAAGTTTTCACTAGATATTAAAGGGTTAGGAATCTCAATTTACGATTCTCAATGATAAGGAACGAACAGGAGCAAAATACCCTGGCTTTCCAGAGGCTTTGTGAGGGGCAAAAGGGGAGCACTGGGCTAGCAGATGGTCTGGAAAACCAGTGAAGAAGATGATAAACCTCTCGTCTTAATCACCACCACTTGTACACAGGGAATGTTCAGTTCCCAATGACAGTGTTTCAGCAAGGGGAAGTGTTCACAGGATTCCCAGCAGACGTGACCTGAACCTCCCCACTCCAAAGGGCCACCTTCTTCCCACAGGTGACCATAGGATTTAGTACCAGTCATTTACAAAATGCTGCTTTGAACTCAGAGGGTTAATATACTTTTGATTTGTAATTTTTTGTAACACTTTTTACAAGGTAGCATAGTATTTCACCAGAATACCAACTACAATCCGTCCATGGTCTGATTTTTATATAATTTAGTGGTGCTTTAGAAACTTTTGTTTGGTTGTTTCAGAGCTGTACAGCTCAGTTCTTCGCCTGTATCTACCTAAGACCAATGTGAACCTTTGTATTTTTGCTCCTAATTTTGGACTCAGTGAAAGTGTACTGTTTACATGTACAGAACTCCCAGCCCCTGTGTGTTCTGCAAACCTGCTGTTGAAGAGGAAGATGCACCTCACCCAGTTCATCTGCTTAGCAAAGCCACAGACACACTTGACACATAATCAACCACCTTAAAAGAAACAAAACTGGGATGTGCTGCAAGAGATGTCAGCGTTTGCACAGCCGAACACACTTTTAAGTGATCAATTTAAAAAATAGCTGTAGCTTAAAATTTGAGAGCTGATCTGAGGGGGTGAGGTGACCATAAACAGCCAGAACCCCAAACAGAAGTAGAACCATATGATGGTGTATTTCCCTGCCTCTCCTCCCTGACATCCCAGGCATGAAGGTGAACGCTACCTAGCTGATTTTAGGGTTCCAGTTGAGTCTAGAACAATGCTCAAGCCTAGTGGAGGCCAGGGAGAAGGGTGAAACCCCTCTTTCCTTCAGCACAATTGAACAGTTACTGATTCACAATTAAATGATCTTAGATGTTAATTTCAAATAAAAATGATAGGAGAGTATTCTCTCTGGAGACACCGGAGCTCCCAAATGGAGTAGGAGGCAGTTCGTTTAGAAAGTTAGTACATTTTGGGGGGGGAGGGGGGACACGGACGACGACACGACACGCTCAGAAACTGAGCATATGGCACTTAAATCACCATGGAAAGAGAATCCAGCTTTGAAGGTGACACTTTATTGCTTAATCAATTGATTAATTTCTAAATGATATTTTTGCAGATAGGCACCTATGCAACTTAATGTGGCTCTTTTAAGCAGATGAGCACTTCCTCCTCAATAAGCTGTATAAAAATTTGTGTTATATACTGTGGATTTTTCCAGTAAGTGTGGCTTAATATTTTAATTCTTAGAATGTGTGTCTATTATATGTGATGCAACTTAATTCTGTTCTGTTTGTGGAATGATTAGCACAGGCCAACTCCCTGTCCCCCTCACTTAACAAAGACCAATGAGCTGTTAATCAAGCTGTTATTTCCATGGTATTACTTGCTAAATGCACTGATTTCATAAGTATGTGGAATCCTTTTTTTCTTTTGAATCTGTATATCATATATAAGACTGAATCTACTTAATAAACACTGTATAACAAACAGGACTCAGATCTCTAGTGTCAAACACAGCTAGTGTCACTTTTACCTCTTGCTTATAAGGCTTTTTCCACCAACTGAGACATATGCCATCAGCTGTCTCCCGAGTTCCCATTAGAGATCTCGGATTTGCAACCCAGTGTCAGTCTGTGACCTAACACATGGAAAGTCAGTTTGTTTGTTACTGGTACCAAGAACAGCTTTCAAATTTAGGTGTTTTAAAATAAACAAACACCTTCATCACTCAAGTACCTTAAAACAAGCTGTGCTGTCTCTTCCTTAACAATCAGCTGCTGCTATTCTTATATTTTAGATAGCTACCTCAATAGTCACTTCTGGGACTGGCAAAGCTGTTTTTTGACAAAATGAAATTTTTTGCTAAAAAAGTGTCTGCTTTCATGGAAATTTTATTTGCTTTTCCCAGTGAAAAACTCTCTTTTTTTAAATGAAATTCAGTATTGTCCATAAAAAATAGTTTCCTGACCAACTCTGTTAATTACATATAATAAAATAAATAACTACGTGGCACTTACATGGTGCCTCTGTACTAAAGGATCGCAAACCACAACACAGTTAAACCTCACTAATTCACGTCAGTGATCTGGTGACAGAGGCAGAAGGCCTAGGAAAGACAGGTATGACAGGTTTTAAAGAGCCAGACTGTATGCTAAAACAAGTTTCCATTGCCCTACCTTTGATTCCAGAACGGGCAGGGCTTCCCCAGCGACAGACAAGAAGTTGGCTGACGGACCCTTGCAAGGGAGTGACCAGGAGACCCGCTGTGAATGGCTGAATATTATACATTAGTAAGCAGTCAATAAGAAATAGCAAGAAGAGGGCATCCTAAATTGTACTTTATCTAACAATTCTATATTAGTTGTAATTATTCATGATATTTCATAATATATACACTAGTAAATGTGTTCTATTGTGTGTTTTGAAAGCATAATGAAGTCTTATAATACTAGACCTCTACTCTTAAATCTACATTGAGTAGTGAAGAACCATTCTAATTATGGGGTGTGGGGATTACTGTGCATGTCTACAGTGAGGATTACTGTGCATGTCTACAGTGAGTTTTGAGAACAGTTAGAAATACCTGTCATTGTTTCAGTAACTCCACACCTGCAAATGGTTCTGTTGACTCAAGGAAGTGATGGATTTTGCTGTTACTTCCCAGCTAGTCAGTCATTCCATTATGACAGGATCACATACCGGAGCATTGCTCAGCTAAATGCAAAAGGCAAGTTGGAGGTGCTCAGGTTTTTTTAAAAAGTAAATTCTATTACTTACTAGAAAAACAGTATGGAGAAAATTTTTAAGTATTCTTCATATTGGACCAATGTGAGACTCAAGCAAAAAAATATTAGGGCTTACCTTAAAACCAACTGTGAGATCTCCCAGATCCCTGCTACTCCAGAGACAGCTAACTCTGCTACTGTCAGACACTGCACCATCAGAAAGACAAGCTATTGACGTCTCAGGTTTTCAGCCATTTTAAAATTATATTTAACATTTCTAAATGGTGAGTTCATGTATTTTTCACAATTAGATCAAGTTTTCTTTTAATGGATGGCTCATCTAACCGCACGCATGCTTCTAGGCCTACTCAGCTACAGTCAAAGAGCTTCAACTGATGGCAAAAACAAAACAACAAAACTTGCCATAAGCAACCACTTGACTTTTAAGAACAATACATTACCAAAGCATCAGCGTTTAGACGATATTTAAGGCCAATGAGTTCCTATCTGACTTCCACTCATATTACTGGAGGGATTGCTTTGTCGTTAGAACTGATGCTTACATATAGATAAAATTCAACACAATGTGCTGAGAGACTAATCTAGAATTTAAAGCATGAACCTTGTTCCACACGTAGGACATGTGTCCTTGTATTAGGCAATAGCAGCAAAGCTCAGCTATGTTTCTCTTTCCTCCTCTTTTCCTCCATACCCTCCAAGTATGGGCTGGATGAATGGACTATAAGGCGGGTAGAAAGTTGGCTAGATTGTCGGGCTCAACGGGTAGTGATCAATGCCTCCATGTCTAGTTGGCAGCCAGTATCAAGTGGAGTGCCCCAGGGGTCGGTCCTCAGGCCGGTTTTGTTCAATATCTTCATAAATGATCTGGAGGATGGTGTGGATTGCACTCTCAGCAAGTTTGCAGATGACACTAAACTGTGAGGAGAGGTAGATACGCTGGACGGTAGGGATAGGATACAGAGGGACCTAGACAAATCGGAGGATTGGGCCAAAAGAAATCTGATGAGGTTCAACAAGGACAAGTGCAGAGTCCTGCACTTAGGACGGAAGAATCCCATGCACCGCTACAATCTAGGGACCGAATGGCTCAGCAGCAGTTCTGCAGAAAAGGACCGAGGGGTTACAGTGGATGAGAAGCTGGATATGAGTCAACAGTGTGCCCTTGCTGCCAAGAAGGCCAATGGCATTTTGGGATGTATAAGTAGGGGCATTGCCAGCAGATTGAAGGACATGATCGTTCCCCTCTATTCGACACTGATGAGGCCTCATCTGGAGTACTGTGTCCAGTTTTGGGCCCCACACTACAAGAAGGATGTGGAAAAATTGGAAAATGTCCAGCGGACAGCAACAAAAATGATTAGGGGACTGGAACACGTGATTTATGAGGAGAGGTTGAGGGAACTGGGATTGTTTAGTCTGCGGAAGAGAAGAATGAGGGGGAATTTGATAGCAGCTTTCAACTACCTGAAAGGGGGTTCCAAAGAGGATGTATCTAGATTGTTCTCAGTGGTAGCAGATGACAGAACAAGGAGTAATGGTCTCAAGTTGCAGTGGGGAAGGTTTAGGTTGGATATTAGGAAAAACTTTTTCACTAGGAGGGTGGTGAAACACTGGAATGCGTTACCTAGGGAGGTGGTGGAATCTCCTTCCTTAGAAGTTTTTAAGGTCACGCTTGACAAAGCCCTGGCTGGGTTGATTTAGTTGGGGATTGGTCCTGCTTTGAGCAGGGGGTTGGACTAGTTGACCTCCTGAGGTCCTTTTCAACCCTGATATTCTATGATTCTATGGCTGGTATTAATTTTTTCTAACAAGCAAACTAAAGAAGCTACAGGCAAGAATGAATCCACTCCTGCTAAACTAACATATGCAGTCACCTAGGTTCAGGAGCCAGTAGAAGACAACAGCACCGGGTGCTACTGTAACAGCAGCACTGTAGAATATAAACCATTATAGTTAGCTTCCATACTGTAGTATATCTATATATTCCAAATGTGGCATTAGATGAGTTATCAGATCATTTGCCTTGTTGAAATTCCACTACAGTGAAAGCTGGATCTACTGAATAGAGGCGTGTGATGCAACAGCTGACCGCAGTGTCAGTGTCTTACTAACCTTCCCTCCACTCCATCCCCTACAAACCATCACTGCCTGGAAGAGAAACAAATTTATTGACAATCTAAGCTTACAGCTAGTTTCAAGTGTTGTAATTGGTATCAAACCATTGCATTGATTTGAAATCAGCATTTAAAATCCCATTAACCCAACAATTTAACCAGACATCAGAAGAAAATGCCATACAATAGCAGAGACCAAATACTTGTTTAGGAATACTTAAGGAATTCCCTAGGTAGGTTGTACTGTGTGTAGTGCATTACCACCAATAAGGTGACTATCCGGGAGCAATACCATTGCAGAAGGGCTTGTACAGCAGTGAACTTCGCTCTGGCAAGAAGTCCAACAACCCAAACTACTTGTTTTGTGCCGTAAGTACTTTTAACTTCACTTGGATCATATACATTACTGGCAGTTGATGCAGTGTCTTCAATTATGTTAGTATATAAAAATGACATACTGAAGTTCAGACAAGAATGACAGTCCCCTTTTGATCAGCTCAGTTTAAAAGCTTGTGAGGACACTGCCAAGGCAAAAATGAGAAACTCTGCCTGAAAAAAACAAGTGTTTTCCCTCTGAGCCTGGCAATGGCAAGACAACAGCAAACCGGTAAGTTCCCGAGCCCAGAACACCAAGCCCATTTCAGAAGAAGAGGATTGAAACCACACATGCAGGTTTTACAGAATGTTTATTTTTCCAATACCACAAGGGACATACAAGAGCAGGGCCCTGCTGGGGAGCTCTGCAGACCAGACCAGCTTCAATCTGTACCCTACAGTGGCCCCAAAGGATACAGAGCCAGACTGCCCCAGCTCTGCTCCCTATCTTTGGTAAGCAGGTTTTCACACCATCCCCTCAAGACTTCACTAATACTGCATTTCAATTCACCCCCGTCTCTCTTTCTCCCATTTCACAATATCAAACTGCCACCTGGGTTATGGGTAAACCATTTCAGAGACGAAGAAGGTTTCTGCAGCCCACAGATTTTACACTCTCTACAGCTCTCAAACAGGGAGGTCTACAATTAAAAAAAAAAAGCATAGTCAAGAAAGAGGTAGGTAGGAGCTAGGAAAGGGGTGGGAGAAAGCTGGTAAATGAAATGGTAGGTTTGCTTCTTCCCCACTTAGAGCAACCCATTCCCGAGAGGCAAACACTCAAAGGAGGGTTGGTCACTTTTTCTGCTCGCATCAATTCTGGATACATACGGGCTTTCACACAAGCTGTCCATGGAGACTCTGACAAGGACCAGTAACTGTTATAGAAATATTTTTTAGAAGAGCGAGGAGCAAATTACATCCAGCTCAGCAAATCAGGGCAGGCATCCTTGAGATTGCATGTTGCAGTCTATCTGCCCACAGCAAAGCCACGGAGGCCAGAGGGAGGCAATCTGAACCAAGAGTGACCCCTTTGCATGTTCAGCCTCACATTAGGCAGCACAGAATACAGTGGCTTTGACTACAGATGTAGATTAAGAACTAACACCACTTTAATGTAATACTGCTGTAGAGCCTGAAAATAAAGAAACAAAAAAAAAACCCTTTATGTTCTATGTACATTACATCCATTTACAGAATTGGCCAGTACTGTGTACAACATATAAATACATGATCAAACAGATGCATAGAGGATACTTACAAGAATCAAATAATTCACTTTATACATCCAAGAATGAAAAGTTAAAATATTAAAAAAAAAAAAAGGAAACACCGCTTAGAATGTAAAATGACCATCACACACAGATGCACAGCCAGACACTTACAGGTGGTCAGATGCTGGCATGGCAAGGTTCTCATTGTAGGGCTGTAATATGGGGAGGTTACCGGCCACACTAATGAACTCCTTGGCTTTTCATACAAGTCTGTAGCAACATTTGGCCAGAAGAGGCAGCCTGGTCCAACAGTTCCACAGACTACACATCTTATTCAGTCCAGCAGAAGGCATTGAAGCTGGCAGCCACTACTATTTGCTTCTTTCATTCCCTTAACTGGCTCCATCCAATATGCAATCACCCATATATGGCTCTTCAGCCACCTGCCGAGTGTTTTACTAGTTACTTGATTCTGCTGTAGCATTCAAAGTACTGCACAGCCACCACCTATAGAGAAGCTTCATGTCCACATTTATTGTACAGTAGTACTTTTTCCACACAGACAGGGAACGGAGAGTGGAAGACTGTATTCTGCTCTGCTAAGGCATGGCTGGGACTAACCTAGCTCAGCCCTTAAAAACAGACAGCACTCTGTTCCAGTTCCTTTGGATGTAAACGTTTCCTTTAGAAAAGGTCCATGGATTTCCAGAGCAAACTGCCTCTCAGTCAGGTAGTAGCCTCAGCACGTGTGCCCAGAGCACAAATCAACATTTCCATGATGGCGTTAAGCAGAAGATTGCTCCAGTAGGGCACAACCCACAGATTGGGGAGTGTAACTGTGAGTAAGAACAACAGGTTTTGCACTGTGAATTTTAGTGGGAAGGCAAATCAACTCTCTCACCAAAACTTAAAGTGTAATATTGTGTCTATTATAAACAGAATAATATTTTGTGTACAGGTTTTAGGGTCAGTTATCAAAATACACACACTAAATATACAATTTTCCCGATGGCCATAATTTATTATCTCACCACAAGGCACAATACACAAAGCTTCGAGGGTCCTATACAGTCATCGTGACAAAATGCCCCACATCCTTTACACATAATCATGGCTTTAAGGCTGCAGGAACATTTGAGTGATATTTCTTCAACACTGCTGCTATCAGCAAACATCTGCACAGAAAGGGAAGTATTATGGTTTGCAGCAAAGTTCGCTTTGTGGCTTAGCTGCATCACGCTTCCAGCAAGGCTTCTCGGAAAAGCTGGAGTTGTGTTGGATGAATAATTAAAGCTGGTGGAATGAAGCTGCAGCTTAGAAAGCTTCCCATAAAATGCTTGTTTGATATTGAGCTGAGAGGGGATGGAAGAAGGCTCCAAGGGCTGATTGAGTCCTTTTCCCGGTTCTCTTGGTAACTTGAAAAATGGCAAGTCCATAACAAAGGGAACACTCTGCAAATGCTCCATCAGTTCCACTGGGTTGCGTGTAACATCCTTCCTGTTCTTCATGATACTACCCTTGGTTGGGCCTCCACAGGCTAGTACGTTCTCATTTTTTATTCCTCCTAGAGTGTTTGCATGTTGCTTCGAAGGCCAGTCTTCCCTGACAGTTGGTGCTCCTTCTCCAGATGCAGAGCTCTTATTTAGTGAAATCTGCTTGCTGGGGGATGCGGTTCCCATGGTTGCAATGTGCTCCAAAGCTCTTGGATGATGCAATCTAGCAGCAGCGTTGCAAGGAAAACCAGAACCAAAGAGCTTTTTGCCCTGGACGCCAACACAACTTTTATTAATTGAGGTTCCACCGATCCGATTTGGATCAAGAGAGGTTACATTTGGAGATAAAAATCTAGGTGCTGCAGGTGGGTTTAACTTTTCAGGGCTTTCACTTGTAATAGTATTTGTTAGTGGACTGTGCTGTGGGACACCATGGACCAGGGGCAGCTCTTTTTGATCTTCAAAGCTACAGGAAGATGATGTTCTTTCTCTAGGGCCCAACTCTTTAGGTTTCTGAGAGCCACTCACCATACTTGCCAGTTGGTCTGGAGAGCTCAAGTTACGGCCAACTTTGGAATGCTTGTCTGGAACATCAGGCTGGTTCTCCATGCTTTCTGTTTTGGGCAGTACCGTCCCAGAGTTGCACTGTTTTTTCTGAGGATCTCTTAAAGCACTTGGAGAGTGGAAATCATCACTTCTGCTTAGGTTACTTGTATTTATTCCCACATCTTGGGAAGACTCTTGGCCAAAGCAGCAATTGCTACTTCTCTCCACTTGTAATGAGTGGTTTTCTGATGGTCTGTCCAGAAGTGACTCCGTAATTTCCAACTTGATGCTGGCATGTGATACTGGTAGAACCTTTTCCAAAGAAAGGTTCCCCTTAAGTAACTGCATCACCAGAGGGTTGCTGGCTTCAATAGAAGATATGGGCCGAGTGGAGCCTGGTGGCTTTTTCTGACTCTCAGAAGGTTTTTGAGGAAGAGGCATATGTGGTGCCCATCTCTGAGGCTGAGACACGTTGCTCACCATTGTTACTGATGGCAAGTCCACCATGTATGGGAGACTCTCAGTGTTCACAGAAGAGTTCGATCTAATCCCTTCATCTCTCTCAGTGTTGCGCTTATGGCTGGCATTTCCTTTTCCTGTAGCCTCCTTAAGGTGGATATTCCTGAAGTATATATCCACCTCCACATTCTCATCAGTTAGGTCAGCTTCAAAATCTGAAGCAGTATCTGTTGTTTCGCTATGCGTACTCTGGATTTCATCATCTCCATTTGTCTTAAATCCTTGTGTCTCTCTCATGTGTTGACATACATTTTCTGTGTTTGCTCCTGATGGCCTCTCCCACAGCTGTGGAAGCTTCTCAGAGGTACCTATTCCATTCTGAACAGTTAAACCACCAAGTGAAAAAGGTTTCACCAAAGACCCTTTATACTGTTCTCCATTCTGTAGTTCACTTTCATGCTGTTTTCCTGTCTGTAGGTGTGTAAAGGCATGTAACTCTGAGCCCATGTTCTCCATTCCAACAGTATTCGTTTTTGAATCATCATGATCAGCTACACATTTTCCCATGGGTGGCTTTGATCCATTAAATCTAGCTTCAATTTCTGGCTCATGTTGTTCTTTACCATCTGATGAGAATTCTGGGGTAAGGCTAGAATTATTGGAGAAAGTTTCCTTCATAGGAGAACTACAATTCAACTCTACGGGAGTGCCAACATCTTCAATTCTTGGTACAACATTGATATCATCTATGAGATAAACTGCAGACCCCTGTACCTGAGAACAAAACAGATCATTCTCAGGAGGAACGCTGCATTCTTGCTTATTACTCTGCCCTTCCTGAGAGGCAATATGCGGTGCATTTTCAGTTCTTACGTCATGGAGGCACTGCTCAAAGTTCTCCTCCCGCCCCAGAGAAGCTGCAGTGTCAAAAGATGGTCCAGTCAAAGCATCACCAAGCTGGCTGTTAGCTAAACCGTCAGCATGTTGAGCAACATCTTCTGTTCCACCTGAGACAACATCTGCAGCATGTTCAAGAATGAAGGCTCCCATACCATTAGGGGTGTAGGGGTCCTGTTTTGCAGGTTCACATACATTTATTTTAGCTACCTGTACAGCTACCTCAGCAAAGTTAGTCTTTTCTCCATCTAGATGGAGAGGCGGCAGTAATTGTGTTCGTTGTAGATCTGACGCACACCTTCCATGAGTTCTCTTTGATCTCCTGCACTCTGTATGGCTACTGGAGTCTCCTCCACCACCTCCTTTATCTGTGCTGTTCCCTCCTCCTCCTGGCCCACCCCCACCTCCAATGGCAGCTGTAGCGGCCTCTCGCTGGGCTCGGGCTTGCAGAGCACGAGCTTTAATGTCTGCGAGTGTTCTGGCACCAGTTCTGCCCCGACCAGAGGACTCCGTGTTGGGGATGATCCTGGGGCATATCTGGTAAGCGGGCTGACCCTTAACCACCCAGGGTGGTTTGATACGTGAAAGTTGAATCTGAAAAAGAATCAGAGGAGAAGATGTTAAACTAACACTTGATATTCTCAGAGAGCAAAAACCTTTAAATCGGTTCATTGAAATTCAGTATATTTAGTTAAGATTCCTAGAGGAAGTAATTTTTGGCATTTGGTAGTGCTGCTGCTCTTGGCCTCTTGATGAGGTCCTCAAGAGGTTTCTACTCAGGCTCCATATCATGGTATCTTTTAAAATCCACTTTATAGTGAGATCATCTATGTCATTACCCACCAGACAAGTATTAAACTGATGGCTTAAACACTAGCTGAATCTGGACTCTTGAGAAGAGAGAGTTTTGATTTCTGTCAAGCATAATCCATTCGCACTGAAATTAGTAGGATGCCCTCCTGCTGCCAAAAAGGACACAGCCGCAATTGCACCTACAGGGGAGTATAAGCTGGAGACAAGAGGATTCCATCCCACATAGAGGTAGGTGAGGAGTCTACAAGGTTACAATGAGAAGGTTTGAAAATCTTGACTGCATTAAATCAGCCCATTTCAGGAAAAGCCATCTCTGTACTCACAAAACTACAAATGAGCTGTATAATAAAAGAGGCTACTCTGCATTCTTGTACAGGAGACCTTGGAATAATTTTCCATTCTACTCTCTGGCTGTCTAAACAAGACAACACACTGCAGTAATTAGATCTTAGCCAGCGCTATCAATGAAAGACTCTTCCATTCCCCTCTTTGAAGAAAATGACATGACATGACATTTTCATATTACTTTGGTGCTACTGGGAACAAAGTCCCTAATGTAATAATCAGGTATAAGTGTCTCTCCTACCCGGATGGGTGGGACTTTTGGTTCCTCTTTAGTAGGCTGTGGCTTTTCTGGGTGAACACTTTCAATTGTGTTACGAAAGGACTGACGATCTTCAAGCCGGGGCTTCTTTTCGGGGAAGGAGGTAGAGGCAGCCTCCTCAAAGCATTTCCTTTTCTGGTCCTTTGACTCCCGATCTAAGTTTTCTTGGGGCAAACTGGGAATTCGGTTTACAGATGCAGCTGCAAATGACAGATCTTCCATTTTACTGTGCAGTCTGGAAGCCTCTGGAGAAAACAGCAATTCTGAACTCTCTGGCTTCAAAGATGCAGATGAAGAGCCTGTCAGATCATCTCCTCCCAAATCCACCTCAGCTTTAGTCTCTTTATGGAAGGAGGAATCTGGTCCCACAGACGCAGTCTCTTTGGGGGTCTCAGACTGGTCGGGCTCACGTATTTTGTACAGGCTCCTCCTTGCTCTGCATCGCAGATCTGGCCGAGAGCGTTTCTTGAAGTGTCCATCTCGCTGACGTGTGGAAGGACCATGCTGTGGCTTTGCTGCTTCTCCCTGAACAGACAATCCCGTCCTGTTCTCAGCATCATCTTGTACTGAATTCTGCTGTTGTGATTCTTCTCTAGTCAAACCCAACCTGCAAAGCAACCACAGAATTATTTAAAGCCCAGAGCAAGCTTGTTAGGTCCGATTTCATCTCCTGGGAAGGATGTAAATTGTTTATTATTTACAGTATGTACTACCAGAGCAGTACATGGTGCATTACAGATTACAAAGCAGTCACTCATCTCACTCAATCAATCTACAAAGAAATATATTATGTATTCACTACTCCTGGTAACTGTCATGGGGAACAAGGAGAACGATTAAATGATGTCAGGATTTACAATCTAAAACTAATCTGTAATAGATTACAATAGAATACAATCTAAAACTAATCTGGCATAGAGAGTACACTTATAAAGTTTGCAGACAATACCAAACTGGAAGGGGTTGCAAGTGCTTTGGAGAACAGGATTATAATTCAAAATGATCTAGACAAACTGGAGAAATGGTCTGAAGTAAACAGGATGAAATTCAATAAGGACAAATGCAAAGTACTCCACTTAGGAAGGAACAACCAGCTGCACAGATACAAAATGGGAAATGACTGCCCTAAGAAGGAGTACTGCAGAAAGGGATCTGGGGGTTATAGTGGACCACAAGCTAAATATGAGTCAACAGTGTAACACTGTTGCAAAAAAAAGCAAACATAATTCTGGGATGTTATAAGCAAGACACGAGAAGTAATTCTTCCGCTCTACCCCGCACTGATTAGTCCACAGCTGCAGTATTGTGTCCAGTTCTGGGCACCACATTTCAGGAAGGATGTGGACAATTTGGAGAAAGTCCAGAGAAGAGCAACAAAAATGATTCAAGGTCTAGAAAACATGACCTATGAGGGAAGATTGAAAAAACGTGGTTTGTTTAATCTGGAAAAGAGAAGGCTGAGAGGGGACATGATAACAGTTTTCAAGTACATGTTGTTACAAGGAAGAGGGAGAAAAATTGTTCTTCTTAACCTCTGAGGCTAGGACAAGAAGCAACGGGCTTAAATTGCAGCAAGGGCAGTTTAGGTTGGACATTAGGAAAAGCTACTCTGACGGTTAGGAAGTTAAGCACTGGAATAAATTGCCTAGGGAGGCTGTGGAATCTCCATCATTGGAGATTTTTAAGAGTAGGTTAGACAAGCACCCGTCAGGGGTGGTCTAGATAATACTCAGTCCTGCCATGAGCGTAGGGGACTGGACTAGATGACCACTCGAGCTCCCCTCCAGTTCTATGATTCTAGGATTCTACTAGGTAGGTATTCCCTTGCAGTGATAATCTGAATGATTCACTCGGTAACTAGCATCCCAAAAGGAGTGGATAATTATGGAGTTGCTTCTTCTCAGAGAGCAGCTAGCTACCAAAAGGGAAGTTCCCCCTCCGCTCGACTTGAATAAAACAAGACCAACGAGGTAGCATTCCTTACTTTTGTCCATAGTAGTCTTCAAAGAACTTCTCTTTCCACTGCTCCACCCTCTTCTCTTTCTCCATTTCCTGGCGTATTCTAACCTGCATCTCATGAGTGAATTCACCTGCAGAGAGACAAGCAAGTGCAAGTTTCATTGCTATCCATAGCACTCAGAGCATGCATAGTACACATTCTGTGCTTGCCAGAGAGTATCCTGCCAGTATATAGACATTTTCTACCCTTTGAAATTTTCGATATCCTGATGGGATAGTCTGGCATGTTGAAATATTGCTAATGGTCAAAGCACCAAATCACTTATTTAGGGGAAAAAAAAGCAGGCCTCTCGGTCTTCTCCAGAGCAATACTCAGCTGTGACCAAACACTTATGCAACTGACAGCAAGTGTCCCCACCCCTATTGTGAAACTCTGGCCTCAAGTCAATGGCAAAATTCCCACTGACTCCCATGGAGTCAGGATTTCACCCCTTGAGATAAACTATATTGCAAGAAATGACTCTCATCTAACTGTATTAAGTAACATCAAAAACCAAAAGAAAACTTGGTGATTCAGGGGCCACAGAAGTTGTCATAGGGTGTGTACATTATCCCATTCAGACAACAAGGGTGTAAATAGCAGTGCACACCAAAGTGCTATTCTGTAACTCCCCTCTGTGGACAGTGAGGACATGAACTAAAAATTTCCCAGTTCACATTAATGTAGTCCTCGCTAACAGAACTGCATTAATGCAAACTAGGAGCCATTTCGTTCATGCCCTCATGGTCCACACGGGGGAGTTACAGCGCAGCGCTTTGGCGCTCAGTTATTCGTGACCCTGTAGTCCCCTGAAGTGCAGTGTAGACTCAGCCACAGAATCCTCCCTTGTACTTGTGCTAGAAATTCTAAATCTTTCATTCCTTTAAAAAAAAGTTTCTAGCTCTCAGAGTTGTACAGAAATCCTTCAAAATGTAAAATGAGTATAATCAATGCAGGGATGTCTCTCTCCCAGAGAATTCAGACAGCGTGAAACAATAGCTGTGAGCGGTGTGAAATTCTCGCACTCATTATATTAGAGATGAATTCTGACATTGAAAATGTACAAGAAATGTTAATTACATTAAATATAAAAAAACAGTAGCAGGGATACTGTATTGCATGTATTATTCATGTTTATACTTAACTCAATAAGTTTCCATTTTGAAATTTATTAGAAGCTGCCACACAATTTACAACCATATCACAGAAACCAGGGAGCTTACTACAAAACTGGTGTCCAGTTTGCCACAGAGTACACAGGGAGTTGGACTGGGATATTACCACCAATGGATATGCATTCTCCCTTCCTAGGGGCAATTACTGTAACTATTTGTGATGGGAAGATTGGGGGGAGCGAGGAAGGGAAAAAAGGGTAAGTGCTCACATACCACAGAGATGAACATAGTAAAGATGCATCGATTAGAGCATGGGTTTCCAATTGAGTCACAAACAGCCAGGGAGGTCCTGATCACCCTCCCTTTCTTTATGACTAGATAGGGGAAAGGGCCCCAACATTTTGCTCTGTTGTAACATGAGCCCATTATCTGGAAAAGCCTGAGGACCCACGGGATTAATAAGCAACTTGTATGTGCCACACAATAAGGAGGTCAGTGTTCAGTTTATACATTAACTACCAGAGAGAAAATGTGAGAAAAAAAGCACCCAATTAAGTTTCTTTATTGTTTATTTTTCTTTCAATTTAGAATAACTGAAGCCCAACTTAATACAGTAAGGTTGAGTAGGTAAATAAATAAATAAATAATAAAAAGACATCTTGAAAGTGCCATAACAAAAAAACCCCCAAAACAACATTTAAAAAATAAGTTAATGGTAGCTAGGACCTGAAAATAGTTTAGAGGTAGATTCCCCGCCTTGTCATCTGTCCTCCCTCTACCTTAGGGATTACAGCTTCTGCACACTGCAGCCACTAAAGGGCAACATGACCATACACACCTGAACAGGTCTGAGAGTCATATTCCACCCAATAGAGGCAGTATGAGAGAGACCACACAAATCTAGCTGGCACTTTGTTTTTAAGGCCTCTGGGCATCTAAAAAAAAGTGTAAGGTAAAATCTTAAAAAAAGGCAATGTAGCCAAACAGGCTCCAAAGCTGGTACAGAATCAAACTCCACAGTTTATTTCTCTTCTACCAAATAAGGTACACAGCAGGCTTCTCCCAATCATTCAAAACAGCACTCTACCCACCATCAGCCAGTCGCTCTCTCCAGCTCTGAGCAGCATGGGTGAAGAACTCGTTATTGAGAGCACTGCCACTGAGACGCATCAGCCCATCTGCCCCCATCTATGGAGGACAAAAGTATAATAGTTGGAAAGCACATGCATCAGCTCTTTGGGAACAGGGGTGATACAACATAACAAGCCACAAGATGCACAGTGATTGTTGTGTGCCTGTACCTGTCTGTCAACTTCTGGCAAGAGGAAGAGGAGTTGCTGTTGGAAGTGTTGGGGGAGTACATTGAAGGTTCTGGAGTTTATCAGTGCCCGGAGATTTGTGTTGACGAGAATGGAACCAGGTGTCTCAAAATCTATATCCTCACCTCTGTTTCGTTTCATTTGCCCTGTAGTTTTCAGAAAACCAAATAAAAAATAAAATCAAAACTATTTATGACAACATTTCATAAACGAACCTGCTGCTGCAAATGAGCAAATTACAAGAGAACAGGCTGTGGCATGCCAGTACAAAGGAAGGACCTCTCAAACACCTTTAAACAAGTAATTCATATTTTACTACATTACTAGGTAGCATATTTAATAGAGAAAGGAGATGGCTATTGTTTTGACATAAGAGTGCCCTTCTTAGATAACTTGATTTCAAACACCATAAATGAGCTGCTTTTTAAGGCACTACCCCACTGTGGCTCAGAGACTAGTTCCCTGAATACCTTAATCACAGCATACAAACACAATCCTCTTGTATGTTTCAGAACCATCCTTTCCAGGGTTCCTGCAGTCAGAGCACTTTTGGACTAATATATAGGAGGCTAGTGATCCCAGCCAGCACCTTCTGTGCTCATGGGGCCAATAGCATTAAAGAGGGAACGCTTCTCTACTCCTGTATCTTTGTGATAGAGTCAAAGGAGGGACTAAGGAGTTTCCAAAAGGATCACTCTCCAGTTCACCTGGCTAGACCATTTATAGAGGTGAGGGACTTGCACTATTTCTGGATGCATCACATCACTGAATCCAATGTGTCTTATGAATTATTACATGGACAAAAACGTGCAGCATAGCGGAACATGCACAAGATAACTGATGATAAAAACTAAGCTTCAATCACAATGGTTTTTATAAAAACCATTTGTTCCCAAAGACTTGGAAAGTACGTCTCTGGAACTCCACATCGCGTACACATGCTCTCACGAACACACCATCAAGGGTCCGGATGCTCCATTTCAGATTAAGCAAATAACATATAGGAGTTCCCTGCCTCCTCACTGAGGGTGAGGAGAAGTTGTTTGATAGTGAGGAGCCTTAACATTGGAAGAGACACTCAGAAGGATAAAAGTCTTGGAGTTCTTCCATAAGAAGGGGACAGACTTGGACACAACTGATAGTTGCTTCAGTTTTTAGGGCCAGTTCTTACAACTTTATTCAGAAGCACGTACCAGCAGCTGGCTTCCGGATACCTCTCAGCAGCTGTGGAGTATCCCTGGTGATTTCTGTCCTACTGCGCATCGTGGCACTACACAGGGCCAAAGAGGAGCGGCTGCTGCTGGAAGTGCTGCTGCTTTCTCCATCAGCATGCCTTCCTGTGAAACCTAAAGGCAAAGCCATTTGTCACAGATTCATGGACGAGTAGCAGAAGCTCCACGGGAGGAGAGGTCTTAGCACATGACAACGATCTGCTTACAACAGACCCATTTTTAGACAGACAAAATTAGGTCATTGCTCCATCACTGACAGTTCTGAGTGGGTGACTGTTAATACAAATTTTATCCAATAAGGCAGCATTGCACAAATTAATTAGAATCACTTGTATGTTTAGTGAGCACTAAATAAATCTCTCTCCTGTCCTGGCCTAGGAAGAGCTTATGGGGATAGCTGTATAGAACCAGTGCTGAAGGGCCATGCCATGCAACTGGCTGAAAACAGTCAAGGTGCAACAAATGCTCACCTGAGGCTGACTCCATATGTGCCCCATTTACTTTCAGTGGAGTCAGGACAACTCGGGGCAACATCACACCAGTCTTTTTCTTTTGTTTGCTTGTCTGTGTTCCAGAGAAAAACAAGATACAAACTATTCAGGGTGCTAAAGTACATGTAGGTCACCTAAACTGCACCTCTTCCTAGCTGAATTCAGACACATCGCTCCACCTAGCCACAAATGAACCACCAGCCAAGTATTCAAGTGTCACTCACTGATTAAACTTATCTTTAACAGCAGAGAATCCTGCACCACTGCCACATACCCACCCATCCTGGAATCAAGGCCTTATATAATAGATCTACCTTTGCTGCAGCTTTCACTCACACTCATTTCAACTCCATGAGGTGGCTCTATAATTCTGCCCCTGCTTGAGGAGACGACCTTGATGTGTGTCTAATCCCTCTCCCTACCACCCAGCCTTCATGTGGCTCTGAGATCTCTCCTCAAGAATAAACACTCCTGGCTTTGCCCCTTGACATTAACCCCACACTTACCCCTACCTGTGAGGCTGCTCTGCAGCTCTCTCTGGAAGTGGAGAGACTCTTACTCTGAGATTCAGTGGAACAGGACGCATTAGAAGAGGTTTCATCAAGAGACACTGGAAGAAAATAACACATGATCAGACCCTGAGGAAGATGCTTATAGTCTAATATAGCGGTTCTCAAACTGTGGGTTGGGACCCCAAAGTGGGTCACGAGCCTGTTTTAATGGGGTTGCCAGTGCTGGCATTAGACTTGCTGGGACCTGTGGCCAAAGCCCAAGCCCCACCACCCTGGGCTGAAGGTGAAGCCCAAGCCCCAAAGCCTGGGACTGAAGCCTTTGGGCTTTGGCTCCCTGGGCCGGTGGGACTCGGGCTTTGGCTTTGCCCCTGCCCCCCACAGGGCAGCGGGGCTCGAGTGGGCTCAGGCTTTGGTCCCCCCTCCTGAGGTCAGGTAGTAATTTTTGTTGTCAGAACGGGGTCGTGGTGCAATGAAGTTTGAGAACCCTGGTCTAATATTAATATTACTTGACACTTACCATCATTATCACCACTCACAGTGCTGGCTTCATTGGACCCACAGCTTTCTGCATCATCCAGCTCCTCTCCCTCTGCCACAGATAGGTTCCGAGACCACTGCAAGGCATCCTTCTAGAAAGGCCAAACAGAACATGAGTGATTAGAGTCCTTACCTCTGCAGCTTTATGAGCTAGACTGACAGGAACATACATAATCATGGCTACAGTTACACTTCCTCAGGAAGAAACTCTTGAATATAACGTAACCAAATTATGACACTGGGTCATAGAATTTTGTTTTTATTAATCCAATCACTAATCCTGACTATGTTCACAATAATTATAAATAGGGCTGTCGATTAATTGCAGTTAACTCACGCGATTAACTCAAAAAAATTAACTGTGATTAAAAAGATTAATCGCGATTAATCGCACTGTTAAACAATAGAATACCAATTGAAATTTATTAAATATTTTGGATGTTTATCTACATTTTCAAATATATTGATTTTTATTACAAACACAGAATACAAAGTGTAGTGCTTACTTTATATTATTTTGTATTACAAATATTTGCACTGTAAAAATGATAAACAAAAGAAATAGTATTTTTCAGTTCACCTCATACAAGTACTGTAGTGCAATCTCTTTATCCTGAAAGCATAATTACAAATTTTTTTTTGTTACATAACTGCACTCAAAAAATTAAACAAAGTAAAACTTTAGAGCAGAGGTGGGCAAACTGCAGCCCGCGGGACCGTCCTGCCCGGTGCTTGAGCTCCCGGCCATGGAGGCTAGCCCCCGGGCCCCTCCCCTGCTGTCCCCCCTCCCTCGCAACCTCAGCTCGCCATGCCGCCAACACTCTGGGTAGCATGGCTGCAAGCTCCTGCCGGGCAGCGCAGCTGCGAGAGCCGCCGGCCTGCCCCGGTGCTCTAGACTGTGCAGCGGTGTGGCTGGCTCCAGCTGGGCAGCGCGGCTGCCAGTCCTGGTGCTCTGAGCGGCATGGTAAGGGGTCAGGGAGCAGTTGGATAGGCGTGGGAGTCCCAGGGGGCCTGTCAGCGGGTGGGGTTGGGGGTGTGGATAGGGGTCAGGGCAGTCAGGGGACGGGGGGTGTTGGATAAGGGGTGGGGTTCCGGGGGGGGTGGTGGTCAGGGGACAAGGAGGAGGTGTGTGTGGATGGGTCAGGGGTTCTGAGGGGGGCAGTCAGGGGGTGGGGGCCAGGTTGTTTAGGGAGGCACAGCCTTCGCTACCTGGCCCTCCATACAGTTTCAGAACCCCGATGTGGTCCTCAGGCCAAAAAGTTTGCCCATCCCTGCTTTAGAGCCTACAAGCCCACTCAGTCCTATTTCTTGTTCAGCCAATTGCTAAGACAAACCAGTTTGTTTACATTTACAGGAGATACTGCTGACTACTTCTTATTTACAATGTCACCTGAAAGAGAGAACAGGCATTCGCATGGCACTTTTGTAGCCGGCATTGCAAGGTATTTATGTGCCAATGTTAAACATTCATTTCAATTCACCTAATACTAGTACTGTAGTGCAATCTCTCTGTCATGAAAGTTGAACTTACAAATGTAGAATTATGTACAAAAATAACTGCGTTCAAAAATAAAACAATGTAAAACTTTACAACCTACAAGTCCACTCAGTCCTACTTCAGCCAATCTCTCAGACAAACAAGTTTGGTTACAATTTGCAGGAGATAATGCTGCCCACGTCTTGTTTACAATGTCATCTGAAACCGAGAACAGGTGTTCGCATGGCACTGTTGTAGCTGGCATTGCAAGATATTTACGTGTCAGATGCGCTAAAGATTCATATGCCCCTTCATGCTTCGGCCACCATTCCAGAGGACATGCTTCCATGCTGATGATGCTCGTTAAAAAAATAACGTATTAATTAAATTTGTGACTGAACTCCTTGGGAGAGAATTGTATGTCTCTTGTTCTGTTTTACCCAAATTCTGCTGTATTTCACGTTATAGCATTCTCTAATGATGACTCAGCACGTTTGTTTTAAGAACATTTTCACTACAGATTTGACAAAATGCAAAGAAGGTACCAGTGTGAGATTTCTAAGGATAGATACAGCACTTGACCCAAGGCTTAAGAATCTGAAGTGCCTTCCAAAATCTGAGAGGGACGAGGTGTGGAGCATGCTTTCAGAAGTCTTAAAAAGAGCAACACTCTGATGTGGAAACTACAGAACCCGAACCACCAAAAAAAAAATCAACCTTCTGCTGGTAGCATCTGACTCAGATGATGAAAATGAACATGCGTCGGTCTGCTCCGTTTTGGATCTTTATTGAACAGAACCTATCATCAGCATGGACGCATGTCTTCTGGAATGGTGGTTGAAGCATGAAGGGACATATGAATCTTTACCGCATCTGGTACGTAAATATCTTGCAATGCCAGCTACAACAGTGCCATGCGAACACCTGTTCTTGTTTTCAGGTGACATTGTAAACAGAGGTGGGCAGCATTATCTCCTGCAAATTGTAACCAAACTTGTTTGGTTGAAGTAGGACTGAGTGAACTTGTAGGTTCTAAAGTTTTATATTGTTTTAGTTTTGCGTGCAGTTATTTTTGTACATAAATTCTACATTTGTAAGTTCAACTTTCATGACAGAGAGATTGCACTACGGTACTTGTATTAGGTGAATTGAAATATACTATTTCTTTTGGTTTTTACAGTGCAAATATTTGTAATCAAAAATAAATATAAAGTGAGCACTGTACACTTTGTATTCTGTGTAGTAATTGAAATCAATATATTTGAAAATGTAGAAAACATCAGAAAATATTTAAACGGTATTCTATTATTAACAGTGCGATTAATCGTGCAATTTTTTTAATCACTTGACAGCCCTAATTATAAACGATCAAAAATTTCAAGCAAGAATTAACTTAAAGAATTCATAATCATATAAGTGCCCCCATATCTTTTAACAGTCCAACTATGATGCATTGCACAATGTGCGCGTGCAAGAATTATGGAGCTAGAACTCGAGAGCTGTATGAGATAACGCTTGATCTGCAAAGAGAAAAACTCATGCATTCATATAACATTTCATATGTATATTAAGGTCTAAAAATCCAGTGTTCCAGAGTTAAATTTGCAAAGCAGCAGTGTGTGTGAGCACACAAATGTAAGCAGTGGGAGGAATAACTGCTCTTCCGTTTCTGTGTTAGCAGGCAGTTTTACTTTCTGCTGTCATTACTGCCCTTGCCTTTGCCTAACTGTGGGCCCACTGTCCCACCACTTCCTGGCAGAATCCATTGGTTTTATTCTGATCTCATACCATGCTGCCAACATAGACAGCAGCAGTGCAGACTTTCAGCTTTTACTTGATTTTTTCACCTCCATATTTTAATCCCCTGGAACTTCAATAGATTCAAGCTCCTAATAGAACAGAAGTCAGCACAGTTCATTTTAATTAAATTAACTCGCACACCATCTTCTCAAATAGTAGAACTGAATTACTGGCATGCTCTGTGGACCCTTTGCAGATGTGTAACTCAAACACACTTGAGAAAAATAAAAGTTTGCTCATATTTGTCCATGCGTAACTACTGAGGGTATTTTTTTTTAATATTCAGAAAAATTATTCTTTCTTGGGCTGAGAAACTGTGTGACAATATTTAGCCACTTTTTATTCCTAGAGATAAAGAGACAACAGTGTCAAACAGCAAACAGCTGCAGAGATGCCAAACTTGTGATGTTCATTGATTATACAAATGGCAAATTAAAATATTTTGGAATTCAGTCTATTTTCAAACACAGAATGACACATTAACATAAGGCATCTTTTGGGGGAAGAGAGAGGTTCAAAGGTGCATTTGAGGAGGTGGGGTGGGAGAGGAGGAACATCTCTGAGACACTAAAAAAATATAGGAGCAGAAGCATATTTTTCTATATTTCAAATTAAAGGGACTGTCAACTTGTACTAAAAAACCTACGTTAGGTAAAGCCTCTTTAAACAGTCTTGACTTTTAAAAAAAATTCCTTAAACAAAAAATTTATATATTTTTTCCTTTTTCTTGGTTGATGTTTTTAAGGGTCTTTTCATCACAAAGACAGACAATATGGAGGAGAGAATGAACTATGCAGATTGCTGTCAAACACAGAGTAAACAAACTGAAAAATGATTTTTGGTTAACTTTTTAATTATAGTAATATTAGGTGTTACTTGTAACTATTGTCCGTACAAAACTTTCAGACAAATGTTATCTGTAAGCTGACTGCATCCCTTTGAGATTGGTATCCAATAAGTTCCCGACTACCTGAAAAGCAACGGGTACATGGATTTTATTCAGATAACTGGGAGTTCAGATAATGGAGGGAACAGGAGCCATTCAGCAGCAAGGTGGCCTCCCTTGCAGTCAGGGACTCAACCGTCTCATCTTCCTTACAGTCCTGGCCGGGGGGAGGAAGGAGAAATCTGCTCTTCCCCACTTACTCTCTTCACAGTGGGGCTGCAGAGGGTTCCCTGCCAGTGAAACCTGATCCCTGCAGGTGCAAGGTGCAGGACAAAGCACAGACCCCACAGCCAGGACTCTGCTCTGCCAGATGACTGCAGTCTTCCTTGCGCCTGCGGCAGTGCAGGGAGGCCTCTGCAGCTCCACTGCCATGGCCCTGTTCACTCACTTTCATGACAGCAGGGCTGAACAGGCCTCCCTGCACTGCTGCAGGATCCATTAAGCAGCAGAGTGACCTCCCCCACAGCCAGGGGCTTGTCTTTCTCCTCCTTGAGGTCCTGACCAGGAGTATCTACTCTATTATACAAACCTCCACATTATTCAAATCCCTTTCTTGTCTTCCAGCATGAGATACATGGGGGACAAGAAAGAGATTTGGATAATGCAAAGGTTCGGGTAATGGGATTTTGGATGAACGGGAGTATACTGTATAAGGGAAACGTACAGGTTTCATTATTTTGATGATGCTCTATCCTTTATGACTGCATGAACTAAATTCTGACATTCCATGTCCTGGAAGAAGAGAGTTTATCTTGCTTGTGTAATTTAAGAATTATAAAATTTAAAAAACAAATGTATTACATATAGCTTATAGGCACAAGAACCATCATGTATAGAATTATGGATCCCAGAGCCTCTGTTTCGCATGACGTTACCAAGGGCAGTATGCTAAACTCATACAGCGATCACCAGTGATGGATTAACAATAACAGCAATACGTAACAAGTTGACCTCACACTCTGTCCCCAGCCTGGAAGACAGGAGTTCACAATTCACCTTGAGTGTGAAAAGGCTGATACGTCCAGGCAATTTGTAAAAGAGTCCATCACCTCCCCTTGAATTGGAATGTAGCATGGCATTGAGGCAGGCCAGGGGCGAAGTGCCACTGAAACCAGAGAGAAAAAGGGAGATGAGGATTAGAGTATCTAATTGCCAATTTTTAAATAATACACAAAACCCTACAGCATTTTTTTTCTTTTTTTTAAATCAAAGGCAGGTAGCAGAAGGGACGGTGATGAGATTTAAGGTACAGGATCTCAACAAGTCTGAACACTATTATAGCTTTCCTATCTGAGCTGCTTACCACTAAGGCACATCATAGTGAGATAAGTCTCAGATAATAGGAAAGCAGCACATTATACTAATGTTCAAGCCATTCTAGGTCATTTTTAGAGGTTTATCACTTGAGATATTTTTCTCGCTCTCTCTCTGAATTCTTTGTAGCTGGATTCATGGTACTAAGGAAGCCTTACTTTATAGATGGAGAACCTCAAAAAAACCCTATCAATAAAATGTTTATAAAATCAAGTATTTCTGAAATAGTTTTCTTTCAATATACGTAACACAAAGAGAATACATGTTAGCAAAGTGTAACAGAAAGGATTTAACGGCACTCTTTTTGGATGGCCCTCATAACTTAGTGGTTGTTTGTCATTTGTAAGTAAACCATTCAACCCACACTCATGCTAATGAAACCTTTGTGACACACCACATCATCAGATTTTCCACATAATCACACATGCACATATAAAACATTACCTCTAGAGCCTGCAAGGGACGTTATTAAAGCAATGGAAGAGTTCACTATTACTAAAAGTGAAACTGAAAACTGGTCTAATTGAAATGTTTTAGTCTCAAAAGCTTAAACTATTGAGTCTCAACTTCTCAAACCGAAAACTGGGTTTAGAACAACTTCTCAGTTAATCTTGATTGAGTTTTTTTTTCTGCTGGTTTGCTTTTTGGCATTTATTTGCAAGCCTTGGAGGTAGCCAAAGTTACCATGTGTCATTTTATACACCACAGAGAAATCCCAACTCGCTCTCCTGTAAATTACACATCTTTTCCCCCTCTGCACTGAGCAGAATGCTGCAAGTAAATTACCTGCCACAGGACAAGTTTTAGGAAAGGAAAAGATTAACTTCCCTAATTGAAACAGTAGACAAAAGAGATGTCAAAACATTCATTGGAGCTACAATTTAGCCATGAGACTGGACCTCTGCTCTTGCATAAACCACAGGGGATCGCTATTTTGCACTTCTTCAGGAAGGCAGCACTCCAACTACTGAGTGTTTCGTAGAATCAGGGTGCATTAGTTCAGAGTGTCCCTTGAGTCATCATGCTACTTCTTTCAGAACTTAGGTTTTCTTTGCAAGCACCTCATGTAAATATTGAAAACGTTCAATGCTATTTAGCTACACAAGATCACAGCCTTGGTGGGCAGTTGGTATTTTGACACTGGGTCTATGAACAATACTTGATCCTTTCAGTTATACGATAAAGAAAGAAAGCCATCTTTCCCCAAAGCAGAAAATTAACAATTGGGTGAAGGGAAGCAGATATACCTGGAGGGAAATACCAATTTCTAGAAAAATGATTTAGCTCTGAAGGATTTAACTTCACACACGCAGAGAAGCCTGGTTTTAAATACCCATTTTGATAAGTTACCAGTCAAAGCTTGGAAGACAGCAAGAAAATCTGCACTAGTGAAAAGATACCCTGTTATTGCCATTAGTAAAGACAGCACAGTGCTCACAGACCCTCAAATAGTGCAGCTACCTCTCTAGGTAAAAGGACTGATCAAAGAAAGTAGGTCAGTGCAGAGTGAATATCTGATTAAAAGAGAAGGAATATGGAGCTTTTCACTATAAGCCCATCCTTATTCCACTCTCTACATACCATGCTGTGAAACCATCACCCAAGTCCATTCCCACTATAAACCTAGTTGTGAGGAACCCCGAGTATCGAGTGGTGTTCTAACAGATCTGCTATCAAGGGAACAAAGCATGCTGGCACAGTCCCTCTGAACAATGGTAACTCCTACACCTTATACCTCTGTCTGTTAATTACGAAGCTGTTCGCTACTCAAACCATCATGATTGTTTCCTAATTTCAGGGATAGTGAGATGAGAAACAAGTTAACAGTCTGAATTGCTTCAGTCCCAAAGGGATTCATTTACCTTCTATAGTTATACAGCAGTTCAACCGTGATGCAGGCAACATGGTGGAAGACAGTTCATAAACCAAAAAGAAAAACAGAGCATAGTTAGAACAGCACAGAGTTAACATCCCACATGGGAGTCAATGAATGCTGAACTGCCAAAGATAGCTTGATTTACTGTGTGCAGTCAAACTTGGGAACTTTCATCTTGTAACCCAAGTTAAGGAGTTTGCAGCATGATGGCTAGCAAACATCTACTTCCTTTGACCTACAAGGTATTTTGTATCTCCTTTCTCCTAGATTCAACAAAAGCAGATGGAAATTCCAGGAAATTAATTTAAGACAACACCTGGGGTTCCATCCATCCCTGTAGTTTCCTACATTCCTGTGCAGGCTCTTCTTCAGGTGATATATGTTCTGAGATCCATATCAAGGGCCACAAAAAATACAGCAGAATTAACACTGTGGTATGGTAGAATATGTAGAAAGAGCAGTATACTTGCGTATATAAGGGAAGCTTCTTACTTGACCCCAGAAAAAGGAGGAGTCTCTGCTCTAGAGGTGAAGCTCTACAGAGGACTGAGTTTGACTCATTACATAAACACAGGCCCAACACTGGAAGACCAGTAGTAGTAATTTATTTGTAGAAGAAACACACAAAGGAGAAGCATTTATATCAGAGCCAGACACGTGGTTGGCATTTAAAATATTTTACAAAAATCTTACAACTCCACTGAAAGGCAGAGATGTTCACTCCGTGTTTACAAGAAACTGGAAATCCTCCAGTAGCAATAGTTAAAGAAAAAACAGCTAGTATATTCTTACCCCAAATTATTGGGCTACAGAGAGAGAGAGAAAAGAAAGGTGGATTAGAGAAAAGACGGCGAACTCCACTAAGTAATCCAGCCCTTTTTATCCACCTTCCCCCACACTCCACACACTTCATTATAAACAAGAAGATCAATACTGACCTCATTTCCTTTAGTCCCTCAGCCTCTATGACCTGCAGAATCTGTTTCGGGGTCATAGGAGCATCAGAGTAGTTTTCCAACACCTGAAGAGATATAAATACCAAAGTTTCATTCAACATTTTCTATTCTTATTCGCTGAATTGTTTTCTGGGTTGGGATTCAAATATAGGAATATGTCTGCTAAAACTTAATATCTCCACAAGAAAACCTGCTACAAAATTCAGGTTAACCCAAGAGCAGACTACGGTATATATGCATGATCCCTGCACTTTTTCTAGGGCTACAAATGGCTTGCCCTGTTTTGTCATCAGGTCTCTAATTAAGTGTACAATTGTGCAAGTATGGGGAGAAGGGGAGAGCTGGGGAATTAGGCACTGATCCCGCACCATTAAAGTTAATGGATGCTTTCCCACAGACTTTCGTAAACATCAGACAAAGCCCTTACTGCACACAACCTTTAAAATATATAAAAGAATCAAAGGCTTCCACTGAAATAGACATTAACATAGTAGATATAGACTGTTTGCTCTTTGGGGCAGAGACTTTCTCTTCATACCTATCTGTTAAGTATCTATCATGTTGGAGTTACAAATAATAATGTCATTACATAAATCAATAGTACAAACTCAGCTGGAACACTGTATTCAGTTCTGATCATCCCATCTCAAGAAGAATACAGAAGAAACAGAGGGGTTTCAGAGACTGGTAATAAGAATGATTAGGGGCATGGAAACATTTTTTGCATGGAAAGATTTAAACAATTGGAACTGTTTGTCTCAGAAAGAGATGAGTAAGAGAGGATATGACAAAGGTATAAAGTAATGAATGGTCTAAAGAATGTAGATGAGGAGCTTCTCTTCATCTGTCTCATAGTACAAGAACAAAGGGACATTTAATTAAGCTGAAAGATGACAAATTCAAAGTGACAAAATAAAATATTTCCTTACACAATGCTGAATAAGCCTGTGGAACTCTCTGCCACAAAATATCATTGAAGCCAACAACTTAGCAGAATTCAAAAAAGAATTGGGCATTTATATGGATAACAAGAAAAACCAGAATTATAATCGTAAATATTAAAAATAACAAAGCTTCAGAAGAGATGTAAACCATAGCGTTTCAGAGCTGAAGCCAACCTTTAATTATTCAGATTTAAGAGGAAACTTTCCCTAGGGGCAGGTTACTCCATAACTGCCTGCTCTGCAGGAGTTCTTGCACCTTTCTCTGAAGCAACTTATACTGGGTACTGTCAGAGACAGAATACTGGCCTACATGACCACTAGTCTGATCCAGTATAGCAACTCCAATGTAAAAATATGTTTCACTATATAGCCTAAAGTACCTGAGAGAAGAGGCAACAGATATTCAGTCTGGGATATTCTGCTCGTAATAATTTAATAAATTCCCCTAACTCAATGGCCACAATGACATGCAATTCTGATTTTATGAGGGACAGTACTTCATACAAGTTGGCAATGCAATTTTGTCTTTCAATTCAACTAGTACAAGTAGTGAGCGAAGAAAATGAATGCCCTTTTTATGTCCGCAATGTCTAGAACTGAGTCACTGCAGCATCATGTCAGGGACCAATGACTGAAGTCTCCATTTGAAAGGTACAGTAGCAGGACTGTCTGCAAGAAAACAGTGCAGGTCACCATCTCTATCACCCCCACTTCCCAGCCTCCTAAAGGAAAGAAAAAGTCCAAACTGAATGACACACTCCAGTGTTGTACTGCAATTAAAAGTCTACCTACACTTCTCAAGAAAAGCAAAACCAAATCATATCCACCATGTCACATTTAAGTATCTGAAAATAATACACAAAGCACTATAGCATTAGCCTGCCAGGGGACTGGAAGTTTGGAATTGTGAAAGCCATGGTTAAATGCAATGAAAGCCCAAGAAATAAGAACATAAGAATGGCCATACTGGGTCAGACCAATGGTCCACCTATAGCCCAGTATCCTGTCTTCCGACAGTGGCCAGTGTCAGAAGCTTCAGAGGGAAAACAAGGCAATTTTCAAGCGATCCACCCCTGGTCATCCAGTCTCAGCTTGGGGCAGTTACAGGTTTAGGGACACCCAGGGTATGGGGTTGTATCCTTGGCCTTTTTGGCTAACAGCCATTGATGTACCTATCCCCCATGAATTTTTCTACTTCTTTTTTGAACTCAGTTCTAATTTTTGCCTTCCCAAATTCCCTGGCAATGAGTTCCACAGGTTGAATGTGTGCTGTGTGAAAAAGTACTTCCTTATGTTTGTTCTAAACCTGTTGCCTATGAATTTCATTGAGTGACCCTAGGTTTTGTGTTATATGAAGGGGCAAACAACACTTCCTTATTCACTTTCTCCACACTATTCATCACTTTGTAGACCTCTGTCATATGCCCCCTTAGCTGTCTCTTCTCTAAGCGAAACAGTCCCAGTCTTTTTAATCTCTCTTCGTATGGAAGTCGTTCCATACCCTTAAACAGTTTTGTTGCCCTTCTCTGCACCTTTTCCAATTCTAATATATTTTTGAGATGGGACGGCCAGAACTGCAAGCAGTATGATAACCTATATTTAAATGACAGGTTTCAGAGTAACAGCCGTGTTAGTCTGTATTCGCAAAAAGAAAAGGAGTACTTGTGGCACCTTAGAGACTAACCAATTTATTTGAGCATGAGCTTTCGTGAGCTATTTAATTGGAATAAATTCCATATTCCATATTTAAATGGAATAAACCATTTTTATTTGGAGGCAGTACAGCTCTACTACAGTCTCCTGCACTGATCAAGTTTTCTTTGGGGTACAATAATTCAGTGCCATCATCAGACACTGTCACCCTTCATCACCCAAATGAAATGGGCATCTGATGTGGACAACACATCACTCAACAGTCAAATGTGAGAGGCACGAAATGGAACATTCATGTTTCCCAAATCAAGAAAAACCTTCACGGCCCATAATGCATCTGGAAAACACTGAACTCAATGCAACCAAATAAAACACAGCCCACAATGGAGAATGAGTGAATACTTACTGCCAGAAACAAAAAGCCCTGCTCAGAACAGTTCCTACCCCCAACTGTATCAGATGTATGACTACTTTTAAGTGTTAGAGCTGGAAGAGAAAGCATCCAACAAGATTCTCTCTCATTCCTTCACCTACCCTGAAAGGCCCTGCATGCACTGAAGCAAGGCCTCCTCTGGCTGATTATGGCAGGATATCGTGGCTCCATTAGGAACCTATTAATGCAGTATTGAGCACTGGCCAGAAGGAATATCTTGGGGGTTCTCAAACTGGGGGGCAGCACCCCTCGGGGGTCACAAGGTTATTACATGGGGGATCGCGAGGTGTCAGGCTCCACCCCAAACCCACTTTGCCTCCAGCATTTATAATGGTGTTAAATATATTTTAAAGTGTTTTTAATTTATAAAGGGGGTCGCACTCAGAGGCTTCCTATGTGAAAGGGGTCACCAGCACAAAAGTTTGAGTACCACTGGGATAAGACAACACTTACCACAGAAATTGAATGTGTTGTTTGTAATATTTCCATTTCCTGCCTTCCCAAAGACCCTAACTGTGAACCTTTATGGCACTCTTCCAATTACCCTGCTACTAGACTAGCAATATAATCCTCAGATTTATAATGAACAGGTATATATACCTGTATATATATGAACATATATCTATGATTCTATGAACAGGTATATATACCTGAACACACCTGTTCAATATTCCCTGTGGCTATATGTACTACACTTTTCAGAGTAACAGCCATGTTAGTCTGTATTCGCAAAAAGAAAAGGAGGACTTGTGGCACCTTAGAGACTAACCAATTTATTTGAGCATGAGCTTTCGTGAGCTACAGCTCACTTCATCGGATGCATACCGTGGAAACTGCAGCAGACTTTATATACACACAGAGAATATGAAACAATACCTCCTCCCACCCCACTGTCCTGCTGGTAATAGCTTATCTAAAGTGATCATCAAGTTGGGCCATTTCCAGCACAAATCCAGGTTTTCTCACCCTCCACCCCCCCACACAAATTCACTCTCCTGCTGGTGATAGCCCATCCAAAGTGACAACTCTCTACACAATGTGCATGATAATCAAGTTGGGCCATTTCCTGCACAAATCCAGGTTCTCTCACCCCTGGATTTGTGCAGGAAATGGCCCAACCTGACCACCATGCACACTGTGCAGAGAGTTGTCACCCCGGATGGGCCATCACCAGCAGGAGAGTGAATCCGTGTGGGGGGGTGGAGGGCGAGAAAACCCGGACCTGCGCTGGAAATGGCCTAACCCGACGATCACTCCAGACAAGCCACCACCAGCAGGACAGTGGGGCAGGAGGAGGCACTGCCTCACACTCTCTGTGCGTATATAAAGTCTGCTGCAGTCTCCACGGCACGCATCCGATGAAGTGAGCTGCAGCCCACGAAAGCTCATGCTCAAACAAACTGGCTAGTCTCTAAGGTGCCTGATTATCATGAACATTGTGTAGAGAGTTGTCACTTTGGATGGGCTATCACCAGCAGGAGAGTGAATTTGTGTGGGGGGGTGGAGGGTGAGAAAACCTGGATTTGTGCTGGAAATGGCCCAACTTGATGATCACTTTAGATAAGCTATTACCAGCAGGACAGTGGGGTGGGAGGAGGTATTGTTTCATATTCTCTGTGTGTATATAAAGTCTGCTGCAGTTTCCACGGTATGCATCCGATGAAGTGAGCTGTAGCTCACGAAAGCTCATGCTCAAATAAATTGGTTAGTCTCTAAGGTGCCACAAGTACTCCTTTTCTTTTTATGTACTACACTGAATCTCAAAATTCTGTTTAAAAAAAAAAAAAAGTATGTGCAAACAATTCACTCCACAGGACTAGAAGCTGCAAAAAGTTCTTTTCCTTCCCATCCATGGAGGCATCTAACAGAATAAAAAATGTAACAGAGTCAAATTAAAAACACTTTGACAGGGGTGTGGTAAAGCCTAGTACTAAACAAACATCTATTTTTAATGGATTTAAGATCAGCTTGAAAGGAGCCCCACAACCCAGAACAGCTAGGAAAGGCTTGGTCTCCCTAAGAGGATAATCTGGTATGAGGTTGAGCCAATGACAAACCAGAAATAGAACAAAGATGAAGCTGGGGTTTAGAGACCTCATACACTTAATGCACATAGGGAGAGGCACCAACCATGAGGAAGGTAACAAATGACATCCATGAAGAGATTCACTGGTAGACCAGATACCAGTGAGGATTAACTAACATGGGTGCTATGCCATTAAATTACTACTAATGAGTTGCCAAAGTAGATGAGTTGCAGACTTACTTTTTGGACAGCCAATAAGCAGTGAGTTACCACAGAGTTTAGTGTGTTGGGTGGCGAGAAAAATTATGCAAGCAGACTTAGCACTGGTCTACACTAGAAAGTTAAGTTGATCTAGCTACATTACTCAGAGGGTGTGAAAAATTCACACACTCCCCCAAGAAATGTAAATTAAGCTGACCTAAGCCCCAATGTAGACAGTGCTAGGTCAATGGAAGAATTTTTCCTTCAACCTAGATACCTCCTCTCAGAGAGGTGGATTTACTACAGCGATGGAAGAACCCCTTCCTTCGCTATAATAAGTGTCTACACTACAGTGGCACAGCTGTAGCATTTCTAGTGCACATATAACCTTAGTCTTTTCCCCACACTGGGGCTGCTCTGCTGGCAGGTGACCCCAAGTGCCTACATTCAAGTATTCCACCCACAAGACTAGGACCCACACAGGAGATGCGGGCTGAAGCACTTCTGAGCATGAACCTGGCACTAGTTTTTTTCCAGCTGCAACTTTTAGCTTGAAGAGCAGGAGAAGAGCGAAAGTCAAAGTCAAGTGAGCTCAAAAATAATAATCTTCACACAAAGGACAATACAAGCTACCAGAAGGCAGACATTCTAGTCTGAATAGGTTATATAGCGAAGTACTTCTTCACACTACACACAGCTAACCTGTGGAATTCGTTGCAAAGGGACGTTATGAAGGCCAAAATTATAACTGGGTTCCAAAAAGATTTAGGTAAATTCATGGAGGAAAGATCCATCAATGCCTATTAGCCAAGATGGTCATGGATACAACCGCATGCTCTGAGTGTCCCTAAGACTCCGACGGCCAGAGGCTGGGACTGGACAACAGGGGATAGATCACGCAATAACTGCCCTGTCCTGTTCTTTCCCTCTGAAGCATATGGCATTGGCCACTATCAAAAGCCAGGATATAGGGCTAAATGGACCACTGGCCATACTGCATCAGAACATTCTTATGTTTTCTTTGTTGGTCAGCCCTGGGAATCTCCTCTTGCGTGCAAGCAAGTCCTATTCAGGAAAAGCTAGAATAACTACTAGAATCCACTGGATGCAAAGCCAAATCGGATGGACCCAAGACAATTGTCCAGCTCTTATTAAATGTCTACATGATCTGGTACATAACCTTGATACATAAAATACATAACAAAAAACCCCAAGACGCATTTATTATTATTTATATAGATGCCAACATACTACACACAAAGTATCTTGTGCCAGTAAATCAATGATCAAGTGCCTTTGGCCCAAACAGAGCTTAGAAGAAAAACTATCTAATCCACTAGTATCCACATGGAGATAGCAGGATCACTGTGCCTCCCCTAGTCACTTACATTCATGGATTTTATTTTTTTAAAGTTTATTGTGAAGACATTTTGGTTCCTGGAGGAAAAAACAAAACAAAACAAACTTTTTCCAATCAGCATTAAAAGTAGATAGCAGCAACAATCAGCACAATAAAGCATGCAAAAAGCTGAGTGTGCCATTTGCAACGTGACTATTCTCCCACTCCAAAAGAGTTGAAATGGAGAGCGTTATGAACTGAATTAAGGGGCTGGGTATTAAAGGCACCAACTGTTCAGACAACAGTTGAAGAGTTCAATTTCCACTTGGATCAACTGGCCCATATTCCCGTCTTTTCCTCCTCTTTTAAAAATTTTAGTTTGATTCTAGTTTCTTGGTGGGTTTATATTTTCTTATTTGGTACAGACTTTTTAAAAATTTGTTTCCATTTTAGATTTTACAGTTGACCTCTGGATTCCAGATTAAGATCTGGCTTTAGTTCTTTTATAAAAGACAGGTTTGTCCCACATGGTGATAGGCAACAGAATACAGGCGAGTCTCATCTTACGTGCATTTAACACGCATGAATTCAGCTTTGCACGGTTGGCAAAAATAAACAAACAAAAAAGAGAAAAATAACAATTTAAATACTGTACCTGTAGTGTGGGCGATTCCGCCCACCCTTACATTCAATGTAATTTTGACTATACGCAATTTTCGCTTTACGCACTGACTGTGGAACGTAACCCCAGCTTAAGATGAGACTTGCCTGTACAGCAAGGCTCCAATAGGATAGTATTAATGGACATAATTAATGGTGTTCCTAGCCTCTGTTTATCAGAAGCTGGGAATGGGTGACGGGATGGATTGCTTGATGATTACCTGTTCTGTTCATTCCCTCTGTGGCACCCAGCATTGGTCACTGTAGGAAGACAGGATACTGGGCTAGATGGACCTTTGGTCTGACCCAGTATGGCCGTTATGTTCTTATAACCAAAGCAGGTACTTATTCTAGAAATCTGCCACTTGAATGAATGGAATTTTTAAAAAACTGATGAAAATACATGCCACAAAATTAACCACACACATACCAGATTTGTTACAAGAACATGCTTATGACCAAATGAAAATGTTGACCATGAAGACACTAAACAAGTAAAGCCCTTTGGTAGACAGGAGGGATATTTATGTTTTCATGTACGCTTGAACACCATAGCCTTTACAATACCTAGTTTCCCCATACTAGTGGTGTCAGGGAGAAGCTTGTTGCCATGAAGGAAATTCCTGACAGTAATGTTTTCTGGACCTCAAGCTATGATCCCTTCCAAGGAGGTTTAAATAAATCTAAGAAGGGAAAGCAGAATAAGAAGTAGGACCTGACAAAACTGAGAATGGTTTACTATACTACCGCCCGGACTTTGCTGACCTGTAAGTAAAATTGAACCAAGCAGAAAAATTAAAGGCTCTCTAACAAACAGTACCATTTTCTACGGTGAAGAAATCACCTCAGACCTTGTCAATGCCTCGTCAGACTATCTATTCATACCATTTGAGAAGATACTGTAAGACAGATACTGAGAAATCTAAGCAATGCTTACAAACTGCTGAAGGCCTCTCCAGAAAAATGCCTTATCCAACCACCATAAATGGGGTGTGTGGTCACACCTTTCTAAAAGAGAAAATCCTCCTCTTTCCATGGTTAAAGGAGAATCTCTTTCTAGAAGACCCATTCCTTCCCCTTGGTAATATGTGTGAGAGCATGTGAAAGGACCTGTTTCTCACCCTCTCTGAGAGAAGCCCCCACAAACCTGGCAATCTGGAAGGGAGAAATATCTAACAGTAGACCCTTCCCCCATGTAATATGACAGTCTCTCAAGAGGATACTGTCGAGGTAAAGTATCAGAGAGGTAGACATGTTTGCCACTTTTACAGATCCAGACTAAGAGTGGCACCTTCTAGACTAACAGACATATTGGAGCATAAGCTTTCGTGGGTGAATACCCACTTCGTCGGATGCATGCATCCGACGAAGTGGGTATTTGCCCACAAAAGCTTATGCTCCAATACATTTGTTAGTCTAGAAGGTGCCACAGGACTCTTTGCAACTATAGAGGTAGTGTTTCTGGAAGCACTCCTGTAGTTTGCAATGAAGACCCTGCTGGCAGTACAGAGTGTGCATGTGTTAGGACTAGAACCATTCCCTTTCTTCCTACCAGTAATATACAGAGAAAAGAGGCTAGTAATTTATCTCTTTCTCTTGAGGGATGGAGGTGAAAAAAGGAGCGGGCAGAGTTGTAATGGTGGGAGCTGTGACTCTCCACCTTTCTACAGAAGAAGTCATGCTGTGATTATGTTGGGCTGGATGTGTGTGGGGGGGTGTTGTGCTCTAGAAGCAGCCTCCTCTCTTTCCCATCTCATATTGAAGATGGGGAGGAGGTTGCTCTCTCTCTCTCTCTCTCTCTCTTTTCTTGTATGGGAAAAGCAATGTCCAGATTGGGTGGGAGGGGGATGTTGGCCTCTCTGCAGGATCCTTGGCGCAGGGACCAGCTCTTTATTTTGTTTGCACAGCACCAAGCATGCACAAAGGGGTCCTGGTCCAGGATGGGGACTCCTAGGCACGACAGCAACACAGATAACGCTAAGCAGCCTCAGGAGGTGTCTCTCAGCTCCCTTGGAGCCAGGCCCCTTCTACTCACAGGGTGGGGTGTCCCCCCCTGCGCCCAACCCCCTGGAGCGACCACTGCCCTGGCTGCACTGGGGAGCCCCCCAGCGTGCCCGGGCCCCTCTCTGGGAGACATCCCATCTTCCCTCCGAGGGGGGGGGTTCACCTCGCCCCGAGGGAAGGCGATCTCCGCCCTCTCCCCATTGTACACCGGGGTCCGTCTCCTCACAACCCTTCCCGCAGGGCCCCTCCCTGCCCAGCACGGGCCCCGCTAGTCACGGGGGCAGGGTGTTTCCCCAGCCCCGGCCACCGCGGGGCCTCCCCGCCCCGCTTCCTGGGGGGATCTCCCCCTCACCAGGCGGGCGGCCTCAGCCCACGTGCGCTCCTTCTTCCTCCGCTGCTTCATCTCCTTCATCTTCCTCCTGCTCCGGGCTGAGGGGAGAGGTGTGGGGGGCCGGGGCGCGGGCACGCGGGCCGGGGTTCGGAGGCGGGAGCGCGCGGTGCGGGTGCGGACCGTTAGCCGGGGGGCGGGGCTGGCGCGGCCGGCGGCAGGGAGGGCGCGAGGCAAGGGGAGGGGTAGCTCCCGGGCGCTATGGAATGCAGCAGCAGTGGCGGCTCAGGCCCGACATAACAACGGGGTCAAAGGGCTCCGAGGTGGAGGGGGAGGGACCTCCTCAACGGTGGCCTCGGCAGGACAATCCAACCCCCGCGCTCGGCTCTGGCGGGGGGAAGAGGCGGGGAGCTTTTCCGTTTGAAGGAAAACAACCCGCAGGGTCTGATGGGAATTGTAGTCCCACCGCGGCCCGGCGCGAACGGCGAACGGGCCGCTGCAGCCCCGAGACTACACCTCCCAGCAGGCTCTCCGGCACCAGGCCGCCGAGGGCCGGCGTGCCGGTGACGGAAGCACGCTGGGCTTGAGCCGTGATGGCCCTGCCCACGTTAGCTGACAGGGCCCCGCCGGGCCCGGCTTCCGTGCCCGGGGCGGCCATTGTCCCCGCACGCCGGTGGGGGGCTCCGGCAGCCCCGCAGGCCCCTTCTCCAGCGGCTCCCTGCCCTGACCCCGGGATCTCGTAGGAGCCACCCCAGGCCTCATTACCGACACCCTCGCCCCCCACTCAGAGCCATTGACCCCCGTGTGACCACCCCCCGAGCCATTGACCCCCGTGTGACCACCCCCCCCGCCATTGACCCCCCCACTCAGAGCCATTGACCCCCGTGTGACCACCCCCCCCCCGAGCCATTGACCCCCGTGTGACCACCCCCCCCACTCAGAGCCATTGACCCCCGTGTGACCACCCCCCCCCGAGCCATTGACCCCCGTGTGACCACCCCCCCACTCAGAGCCATTGACCCCCCCCCACTCAGAGCCATTGACCCCCGTGTGACCACCCCCCCCACTCAGAGCCATTCACCCCCGTGTGACCACCCCCCCGAGCCATAGACCCCCCCCACTCAGAGCCATTCACCCCCGTGTGACCACCCCCCCGAGCCATTCACCCCCGTGTGACCACCCCCCCCAGAGCCATTCACCCCTGTGTGACCACCCCCTCCAGAGCCATACACCTCCCCCCACTCAGAGCCATTCACCCCCGTGTGACCCCCCCCCCCGGAGCCATGGACCCCCCCCACTCAGAGCCATTGACCCCCGTGTGACCACCCCCCCCCGAGCCATTGACCCCCGTGTGACCCCACCCCCCGGAGCCATAGACACCCCCCCCACTCAGAGCCATTCACCCCCGTGTGACCACCCCCCCCACTCAGAGCCATTCACCCCCGTGTGACCACCCCCCCCCCCCGCAGAGCCATACACCTCCCTCCACTCAGAGCTGTTGCCGGCACCCAGTGCCGAGAGGCTGAACAACAGTTTGAGTGGTTGGTTGCCCGGTGTGCTACACCCAATAATCACAACGGGGTGGAGAAGCAGAAAAGTTTATTTGCAGCTGCAAAAAGGTACAGGGAGAATAAAATCTCAAATCCTGCACAACAGAGCAGGAAGTTACACAGGCTTTTATACATCCTTTTTCCCAGCATACTTATCCAATAGCAAGCTGCCCCAAGTATCCATATAGCCAGCCAATCCAGTTCCCTGATTCTCTGTATCATTTGTTAAACTATACATAAAGGTGCTTTATTCAGCATTGGTCTTTCATATCTCCCCTGTTTGGCCTTGCTTAGTTTCAGGCAGTCTGACTCTGCAACATACTGTTGCAGATTCTCAGCATAACTGCTGTGTGTGCCTCCAGGCAGGGGGGCCAAGGACACTTGGGCCTAGTACGCAGAGCTGCTGCGAGTGCCTCCAGGCAGGAGGGGGGGCCAAGGACACCGGGGGCTAGTGCGAGGGGGCTTCATCAACACTCGTGGTCTTCCATCCCCTCGAGTTACCTAGTGGCCATGCCCGTTTTCCCAACAGAGCCATTCACCCCTGTGTGAACCCCCCCCCCCGACCCAGGGCCATAAACCCCCATGTGAACACCCTCCCCCTTTTTATGTTTCTAACTTCTGTTTATATCAATATAAGTTAGGAGCCTAAATACCTTTGTAGAGCTGGGTCTTACTGCTGAGCGTGTGTAGTGAGAGAGGCTCGAAGAGAATGAATGCTTAGGGTTTTTCCGTTGGAGCTTTTTTTTTTTTTTTTGGACACAGGTCCCTCACCATGCCATGTCATAAAATACCTGAGGAACAGAACACCAGGCTTCATGTAATAAATTAAAAAAATAGAAAGACAGTGTTTTTTTCCCAACCAAAATACTCAACTTTCATTAGAGACCATATAGTGACTTATATGAAATGAGCTTAGTGGTCTCACTCCATTTTCCAGATGTTTACATCACAAAAACCTCCACCATAATTACCACTAACTGGATCCCTTTTTGTCACTCAGCAGAAAGGACAAAAGGACTAACCTACCCTTTCAGCCCCACAAGTGGTCTCTCCAAGGTAGAGGTGAGTCACATTTGCGGGGAGGGGAACGAGGACGTTTGTGCTGCTATGGCTTGAACTATACATATTCTGTTAATAACAAGAGTATGCTATTCTCTGGGGCTACCTGTCACAATGACATTTACATTCCATTGTTATAACAGGCTAGCTTCTGCAGACACTTTCTAATAGAATGAGGGCCTGGTGTTTTACAGCCACCTAAGGATTTGTGAACATTGCAATGATTTATAAATTCATTTAAGAATGAAGAAAGGACACGTTTTGGTAGATACAATAAATCTGATTGATTTTATTACATATCTTACTTTAGGATCACTTTTACATTCCTAGCCAAAAGAGATGATACAAATAAATATAAGTTGTAAAACCTATTGACAGAACTAGGGACGTTCATCGTCTACAGGTCGCCAAAGAAAAGGTCAAGATCAGTGTAAGACCAAGGAGTGAAATCTCACAAAGACAGTTGTGCCCACACGTATCCTTGGGCATTTCATTCCAGAAACTAGAGAAATTGGGTTGAGGAGGGTAAGGTATTAAGTGCCTAGATCATAGGGAGCTAAATGACCACTGCACGGTGCAAAGCAGCCAGGCACCACTGTTCTTGTTCAGTTCCAGCTGAGCATCTGATTATGGCTTTTGCATTGTGCACATATGTTCTTCTCATTTGTCTATGTGTTTAACACTGTAGAAAGAAAGCCACAAGAATCACTTCTTCCCCTTTTAAGGCCTGGTTGTATGGTCAGATATCAGAAATTAAAAGACAGGTCAGATAAAATATCCAGATTTACAGGAATCAGTGCTTCTCTGAAACTTGGCAATGAATCTAGACACAGTGAGGAAGTACTACAGCTAGAGAGTTCTGTATCAAACCAAAAGTCTGTATATTGCATCATTACAGTTCAAAAGGTCATCACAGAGGTATATGTTCTATAAGATTCAAGCAGCATGCAAACCTTTCAACAAGGGGCTATCAGACCTATATTAAGAATGTTAAGTGCTGTAATTCCTATGTGTTCGGTTTCATGTGGGAATTGACTCTGGAACAGAAAAGCTACCTTTACTGCATGTAACTTGAAAAATAAAATCGTATCCAATTATACAGAGCAGAGCAAAGAGGAGGAGGATTTTATACAGTCCTCTGAAGAGACTGATTGTGTACACTCTCCCAGGGTCTCTTCCAGGAACTTGGTGGATTTCCTGTCTTCTTTGGCTGTTAACCTGCAGGAAGCCCAGATGGTTCAGATCATACCCACATGCAGCAGAGAGAGACAAGCCTGGCAGGATAACTTTTTAGACATGTCAATTCAGAACTTCACTAACATTGTACAATTTAAGACACATGCATTCACTTCATCCCAATATCGCTGCCCCACAAAATGTATGTCCTCACTGCAATTAGATACTCGTGGCTGGCCTGTGCCAGCTGACTTGGGCCCACAGGGCTCAGGCGCTGTTTAATTGTGGTGTAGATGTTCGGGCTTGGACTCCAGCTTGAGCTCTGGGATCTTGCAGGGTCCTGGAGCCCAGGCTCCAGCCTGAGCCCGATTGTCTACCCTGCAATTAAATAGCCCCTTAGCCTGAGCCCCACAAGCCCAGGTTGGTTGTCCCAGGCCAGCCACAATTTTTTAATTGCAGCGTAGACGTACCCTATGGATCTACTCAAGGGGTAGGTAATCAGAGTGAGAAGCTGAAAGCTGCTGTTGCCCTGAGATTTGCTTATTATCTCTTATTCACTGGACATACTGTTTAAAATGGAGCTGTGGGTAAAGCTAACTAAAAGTCAATTTTATACTTTGCTTACCCCATTCCCTTTCTCTCACCCTCACTTATATGCATTTATAAACAGGGCTTTCTGAGGTATCAGCCGTTCTAGCATATTAAGAGTAAAAGCAGAACAGTCTGGGTTTGGGCTGTGATTTCCAATGCACTTATTCCTGCCACATGGGAAATACTACAAAATTTCATACAGAAACCCAATGGAATAGTAGTGAGTGAAGAGGCATAGATGTATATAGTACCATCGCAGTCTGTACAGTCACTTTGTCTCATTTCAATTCTCTGAATACTTAAACCATACAATCCTCTTTTTCAATTATGAAGTAAACAAGATTATATACCCGGGGAGGGGGATGGGACGTTGACACTCTGTTTTATACCACAAGAGACCATCACAAGGCTTTTTGTACAGAAACAGTGGTTTACAAAAAAGAAAGTTATGTTAGGCTTCCATTATTAGGTTAGCAGAAAATGAGCAGATGGCTCCTCCCTCACCCATAGGCAAAACTCTCCTCCCCCCGCCCATCAAAATTTAAAAAAATATTAATCTGGTTCTCATCCAGAAATATACTCCTTGAATCAAAGCAGCTGAGTTAGAACTTAACCCAAGTTAAGCAGAAAGGACAAAAGGCCTGAGCAGCTGACTCACCAAGGCACCATGCCAGCAAGATGCAGAGGAGAGCTTTATGCCAGAAGTGTTGTGTTCCTTCTGCTCATGGCGGTCAGATACAATGGAGTTGTTCCAGACTGGACAGAGTCAGTCAATGGATACTTAACAAGAACACAAAGTAGAGTCCCTACATTAGAGTATTTCTAAAAACAGGCAAGTTCTCATACACTGGTCGGTCTAGTGAGAGGTCATCTGCGAGGGAGAGGTAATGGGTAAAAAACAATCACAGGACAACAGTTGACAACAATCAAGAAAAAAATAGCTCAACTCTCAATATACAAGGAACT